GGTGCAAAGTCAGCCAGCGAGGGCAGCAGGCCAGGCGCATGCGCCTCGTGCGCAGGGATTGAGCCCGGGTCCCCACGGCCACGCAGCGCCAGCAGCACGCGCTTCCAGTTGGTGCAGGCCACCTTGGGCACGTAGCAGTACAGCAGCCGGTGTGCGTCGTCCACCAGCACGTGCCGCAGGTCCTCTGGCTGCAGCAGGCGCTGGCGTCGTGTGTGGCGCCTGCAGGCCTGGTGTAGCAGCTCGCGCCGCTGCTGGTGTACCTCGGCCATGGTGGAGTGCCCATCCTGGAGGCGACAAGTGATGGAGGCGGGCAGGATGGAGCATCAGAGTGCAGCAGGCTCCAGGCCAAGGCTGCACAGATGCCATGTGCCCAGGAACTCAGGCAAGGGATTCCCCCTACCCCAGGAAACTGGAATCCCAGAGGTGTTACCAGTCTCTGCATGGTCTGGGGTCAGAGTCTGCCCTGGACTTGGAGGAAATGCAGTCTAACTGTTGAGGCGGGAAGGATGTGAAGACCTGGATGTGCTTGCTACTGTGTGTACACTAGGATTGCCGAGAAATTTGGTTTTTCGAGACAGGGTTTCTCTGTAGCTTTGGAGCCTATCCTGGCACTCGCTCTGGAGACCAGGCTGGCCTTGAACTCACAGAGATCTGCCTGCCTCTGCCTCCCGAGTGCTGGGATTAAAGGCATGTGCCACCAATGCCCGGCCTGAGAATGAGTCTTTACAGGACTGGGTAAACTGGATAAAGAAGGATGGCCAAGGGCAGGATGAACAGCATATAACCGCAGACACACAGAGACCCTCTGTTTAAATTCTGACGCCTTATTATGTCCTCCCCACTTCACACACTCTGGCAAGGACAACAGCAAGGCTGTGTGCCCAGGCTACCCCTGAAGTATAGCCCTCCCTTGGCAGCAGTCATTCAGCTACTTGTAGGATATGGGCTTTTATGTGTGTGGTGGTTAAATAGACTTCTGATTCTGTACTAATGAATGGACACATTTCTTTGGACCTTGATTTAATTTTTCCCCCCAACAAAGTTTTTCCTTTTATATGCATGGGTATTTTGCCTTCGTGTACATTGGTGTGCCATGTGCATGCAGTGCCCAAAGAGGCCAGAAGAGGGCATCAGATCCCCTGGAACTAGAACTGCAATTGGGAATGAGCCACCATGTGGGAGCTAGGAATCAAACCTGGATTCTCTACGAGGGCAGTGAGTGGTCTTAACACTGAGCCATCACTCCAGCCCACCACCAGAAAATGTTAATCACAGTGCTTTGTCAGGTAACTTGGCCTTTTCCATGTCTGTCTTTGCTGTGGGGGAAGGGGCACCAGCCACCAGCATTCATTCTAGCACTTCCTGTATTCCAATCACAATATAGCACTGTGAATTAGTTTCTATTCAGAGGATCATGGGCGTGGTCCACTTAGCCTGCTTCAGCCATGCAAAGAACCAAGCTGTACTTCAGAGTAACCCTTCAAATTTATTCTTCAATAGGGTCCTCATCTCTTAAGACCACCTCCTACCACCATTCCACCTCCATCAGATCAGAGACAGAAGGGTAGCTGCTAGGGTACAGGGCTCTGTTAAAATGTATTAAAGTTACTCTTAGTGTTGATAATTGTGCCATCCTTCTGCTGTTCGCTTTTCTGGGAAAAAAAATCAAAGACTTTGGGGAATGAGTAGTTTGGGTCCCTAATTAGCAGCTGCTGGACTTTCCCTGGATCCCCTGACTAAAAGGATGGCATTAAAACAGGCAAACTCCCCGTATGCCAGCACAGGCCATCTTGGACACTTAGAGACACTTTGAGAAAACTGTACAAAGATCACAGCTGCTTCCCCCAGCTCCTGAAGGCACAGCTTCCGCCAGGGGGTAAAACTGTGTTTCCAACTTTTGTTATTACAAGGCTTGATGAGATCTAGAAAACTCTGCAGCCATTTCTGCCTGGGACAGAGGGAGAACATATCTATTCTCATCATCTGTCCCTCTACTCCTCTCTCTTGCCAGCAGAAGGACTGCTGTAGCTGGTCTAAGACACAGGTCTGTGACTGGCCCAAATACAAACCTCCATGTCTGTGATGGGTGATAAAGAAACAAATGCCGTGTTTGGTACCAATGCCCCTTTTAGGCTTTGTGAACAGAGAGTACTCAGACTGCTTCCCTGTAAGGCCCTCTGCACTGTTCCGGGTACTGCAGCATCAGGCCCTCCTCTGGAAGGTCTTCTCATGCTTTCTGTAGTGTGGCCTGAGATTGGCGGCAGGCAGGAGAGTCAGCAAGGGAAGAACACTGCTGCTGCAGCCTGCCCTGAGGCAGGGGCAAGGCAGTCAGCTGTCTGGCAGCTGGACAGTCAGAGAATGGCCAGAGCACATAGCAGGCTTAAAGAGAAGGGGAAAGTGCATGCCCTGCTTCCTGGAAATTCTAGAATGCTGCCAGGTATTTAGGGTCAAGAGTCTCAAATGCAAACCCAAGCACTGTGACGTTGGCTCGTGTAAAGGGTTTAGGAACCCTAACTTTCTGCACTGACATAGGAGCACCAGCATTAGTAGGACTAGATAACCCAGGTCTGGGTAAGGGCTATAACACCATATGGCACCATTTACTGCTGTTCCCACCTGCCTATCCATAGCTCAAAGCTGCCAAGCAACTAAAAACTTGTAGATGGATGTTCATAGCAGCATTATTCCTATTGGCAAAAACGTGGAAACATCTTAAGTGTTCATTATCTGACAAATGGATAAATAGTATATGGCATATCTATAACAATATTATTTGCCATTAATGGGAATGAAAGTATGACAAATGCCACAACACAGATAAGCCTTGAAAGCTTGCTGGGTAAAAGAAGCCAGGCATAAAAGGCCAACTATTGCATGGTTCTAAGGTTCTCTGTCTCTCTCTCTCTGTGTCTCTTTCTCTGTCTCTCTCTGTCTCTGTCTCTCTCTCCCTCTCTCCCTGTCTCCCTCCCTCCCCCTCTCTCTGACACAGGGTAGCCCTGACTGTCCTGGAACTTGCAAGGTAGACCCAAGCTGGCCTTGAACTCACAGTTATCCTCCTGCCTCCTCCTCCCGAGTGTGACTGATAGCACATTCATATAATTCCTTTTGAATGGATGATCAAAACAGGTGAATCTACAGACAGGAAGTGAATTAGTGGTTGTCAGGGGCTAGAAGAGAAGGAAGAGGAATGACCACAATATAATCATAGTCTCTTAGGTTACAAATGTTCTGGAATCATGTAATGGTGAGGTCACATGTAAAATACGAAAAACCACTGAATCAGCCATTTCAAAAGAGTTAATTTATGCTAAGTTATTTCTCAGAAAGTTAAAGTCCTTAGGGATATTTCCAGCTCAGAGGCCATAGTAGAGGGAGAAATGGTAGAGCCCCAGCCTTAGACATGAGATCATGGGTGCTGGTGGTATGGAAGTATGTGGATGTGTGCCCACATGGACATATGTGTTTCTGGGGCTTTTAAAATTATTCTGCAGAGGCCCATGATTCATTAAGTGCCCTGACCTTTGTATTTTATGGGGGAGGGAAGAAAACAAAGTGTTTCAGAAAGGATGGGTGGAGGAGCACTTTTTTTTTTCCTTTAAGTGCTGACAGTTCCAGAATCCATGGGCTGCGATGGGCTTTAGAGTAAGAGGGAGAGAGCTGGTGATGTAATGTGGGGGTTCTATGTCAGTCATCCTGCTTGTGTTAATTCCAAAGGAGAGCTAAAGCAGGGAAGTAGACAAGCAGAGACACACAACTTGAATTCCAAAAAGTGACATTTTGGAAGAGTTAAAATGCACTGTTGTGGGATTTGCACACTGTGTGAATATGGTGTAATAAAAGTAGCTAGTCAGGAGGTATAGGACATCCTGGCAGAGAGAGGAAGGAAGAGGAGGTATCCAGGTATGTAGGAGATACCAGGAGACCAAAACAGTGCAAGGTGGAGAGAGGTAACATCACCTAATAGAACGTAGATTAATATAAATGGGTTAATTTATTTAGGTTATAAGAGCTAGTTAGGAACTAGCCTTCATAATTAATATGAAGTCCCTATGTCATTATTTGGGAGCTGTCTGGAAGAACAGAAAAAGACACATTACAACGCACATCCTAGATCTTGCCTGGAAGCCCACACAAGGACCAGTCTCATCTGGGGAGGACCAGGACCTGGCTGAGGAGACGTGTACGGCACTGAACTTTCACCGTTCTTTGTCACCATGTCAAGTTCAGCCATGCCATTGGGTCCGTAGACTCTAAAAAGATCCTGTTCTTTCTATCAGGAGTGCTTTGGAAACCTGGCCGCACCTGGAGCCCCACAGGCCAGGCTCCCCTCAACCTCCTCACAGCCAGCACATCCTTGTGGAGGAATGCCAGCCATCTATTCCTTGGCTCACTTCCCTACTCATTAACTGTGTTGGGACCTGTGCTTAGCCTCAGAAGAACCATCCTGCAGCCTCACACCTCCACATAAGGGATGAGTCTAGGGTAGGTATGTGGCCTGGCTCTGATCAAAGAGATGTAGGGAAGTTGCCGGCTGCTCCTGGAAAAGGCTTTTCCTGGAGATACAAAGCAAGAGGGCATAGGGGGAAAACCCAAACCTTTAACCACCCACCCCCCATCCCAGGATCCTCTCCTGTGAGGATGGCAGTCATCTTGTAGTCATGAGGCTGCGAATCTGTAACGGCAGTTAACAGAGGATGACAGGGCACTATGCCACTGCTGTCCCATGGGGCTGCTGGCCTTTCTGTCAACACTGCTGTTGTTTACAGACTTGTGAATTCTAAGACAGTCAACATGGTCCTCTCAGCAGATGACAAAACCCAGGTGTGGGAGAAGTGAGCTCCCGGAGGTCATGGCATTTTGTGGGAGGCTGGCTCTTAAACTTGGGACTGTAGGGACTGAACAGCTGGGACCACATCTGCACTACAGCTCTTGTCCCCTCTATTGAGCTTCCCAGTTGTCCAGTTGACTCCATTCTTTGTGAGCTCCATGACTTCTGCAGGGTCCTTGGCCCCTTGCTTCAATTTCCCATCAGTAGATCTGTCTAATGGTAGCCTTATCTAATGGTTTGCATAAGTGGCCAGGTGCATGCCACAAGATCAGTCCTCGTCCCCTGACATTTCTATTGCTGCCATTTCTCCAGAGGCAAGGTATATGGCCTCAAAGTATTCGACTTCAACAGTCCCTGGATCCTGGGACTAAAGACCCGTCTGTCCCAGGCTGCAGAGCTAGTAGAATCTGGGACCCCTTAAAAGTCTGTCCTCCACCTGCTCAATGTGCAACCAGGAGTGAGCCAGACATATTCTGTGAACCAAGACTTCCTTATCTGCAACCCGAGGGCAGACTACCTCACCATTCCCCACACAGCAGTCCAAGAGAATCTTCTGCCCCTGCTTAAAATCCTCCACAGCTCCCCATTGCCCTTGCCACTGTTTGGGCCTTGTGGAATGCTGCCTGCCTCCCAGGCTCAACATAGACAACCTCTCTGCCCTCCTCTCTCTAAGGCTGTTGGTCTAGCTCTTCCCTCTGTCTGTAGTGTCCGAGTTATCCTCTTCAGGTCCCACTACAAATCCCTCTCTCAGGGAGTAGCCTCTCCCCGTCTCTACTGGAATCCCCTTGGGGAGTTCCTTGTAATCCACACTGTTCCCTCAGAGCACAACTCGATTTCATGGACGTGTAAATGCTGGTCAGACTATGTCCTACCTAACTGTGCTGTCTGCTTGTGAGGGCAGGACCCTGGTCCAGCTGTTTGCCACTAAGTCTCAGCACAAGAGAATGTGTTGAGGAATGTTATTTTAACTGGGCAAAGGTGGATTGTGTTTATTTATGGGGCAGAATATTTAACTGTATAAAGGTGTGTTACATTTGTATGCTGCCTTTGTTTAATGATGAAAGGATGTGTAATTATAAAAAGAGATGTGTTGCATTTATTTCATCTTGCCTAAGGCACCTGATTGGTCTAATAAAAAGCTGAATCGCCAGTATATAGTAATGAGAAGGATAGGCAGGGTTGTTGGGCAGAGAAATAGGAGAGAGAAGAGGAATGAGAGAGGAGGAGAGAATAAGGGCAAGAAGCCAGGCAGTTGCCATTCAGCTGGACAGGAGAAGCAGTGAAAGTAAGATATACAGAAAGTAAGAAAAGGTAATAAGCCCCGAGCAAAAGGCAGATAAAGAGAAAGAGGTTAATTTAAAAAGAGCTAGTCAGAAATGAGCCTACGCTAGACCAAGCATTCAAAACTAGCAAGTCCCTGTGTCATGATTTGGAACTGGTTGGTGGCTCAAAAAGAAAAGGCCTGGTACAAGAATGGCTGCATACAGTAGGTGCTAATACATGCTGTCTGTGTTTTTTGGCTGAGCCAAGTATGGGTTCTCCTATGTATGGGTATCAGGCAGGCAGCATTACTTGTATGATTTTAGTCTTTAAAAAGACAACTTTATGATGGTGGCATTCAGAAAGAGCTGCTGCTAGATTTGAATGTAGACTTTATCCTGGGCTTGAGTGACACTTTGTATAGATATCTCCCTGTAGGAGGAGAGGATAGTTGAGTCTAATCCCTACTCACACCATCACCAGGGGAGCAGCTACATCTGCAGTGTCCTGTATGGCCAAGGGTCTGAGCATCAAGGGTCCCAGATGTTAGGAGCATTTTGATTTAGCAATATTTAAGCAGGCTGGGTTCCTTGGGAGATAACCCCACCCTAAGTAAAGGAGTGCTTTGCTGTTGGGTGTGTGGGAGCATATCTGAGGCTGTGTGTGGTCCCAGTAGGGCCACTTGCTCCATCTGCTTGGAGATGATTGGGTGTATGTGTGTTGGGAGGGGGGTCCTCTGAACATTCCCTTGTTGTGCCACAAACTAAAATTTGGGAACTTAATGGCCATCTTCCTGAACTCCTGGGACAGGCATAGATTAATGACCATCTGTTTGCTGGTCCCCTGGGACAAGCATGGCTTAATGACCATCTGTTCACCACTGGTCCCCTGTGACAGACATGGGCTGTTTTACTTCCCTGTGTCTGCAATACATAGCACAAAGCAAGCACAGGCCTCAGTGTGGTGGGAGGGATGATAAGCAGGAGAAACTGGACTTCCAGGCTACCCACTGCCCATACAGGACAGAGCTATGACAGAGGGTATGCAGGAGACTATGGCTTCCTATCCAGGACGTAAGAGGGCATCCCAGCCACTTACCTGGTCCAGGTCGTGCAACAGCTGTAGGGGACTCTTCTTCACTCCTCCGAACCAGCTAAAGCCCAGGGCTTTGTTTTCAAATGCTGAAGGGCAACAAGGAGAGAGAGAGAGAGAGAGAGAGAGAGAGAGAGAGAGAGAGCACTGCCGACATTGGATAAAGTGTGGTCTTGCCAGTATCCCTAGGACACATTTATCCTACTTGTGTGACTTCTCTTCCTTCTGGGGACTAGGTAAGGGGTGGGCACTGGTAGGGCAGTGTCCTTGGGTCATTCCCACACCCATGCCTTACCCTCCACTATTGGAGAGTGGCAAGTACAGGGGACAAGAAGAAAGAAACCTGCCTGCCTTCTGGGAAGAGCACCCAGCCCCATGCTATTCTACTCCCCCGTCTCAGCGCCACCGCCAGTCACTTCTGGAGGCTCACAAGTCTGATGGCTTTCCAGAAAGGCTGGACTGTGGCACAGCCAAGCTGCAGGCTACTAGAGTGAGGGCACCAGGCTATATGAGGCACCACGAAAGCCCTTGGAAGCATGTCCATGTTCCGAGGTATGGATGCTACTCTTGATAAATGCAGCTTTACCTGTTTCCAGAACTGGACAAGGACACCCTGTTTTTAATCTTGCCTTCTTCACTGTACTTAAGACTACAGAGCTGTCTGCACACCCCAGACCTTCTGTGTGTGTGTGTGTGTGTGTGTGTGTGTGTGTACTTAGAATAAGGGGGCCACTTGGACCAGGGCTCATGCAGGAAGCCTGTTTTGAGGATGCCTATGAACCCAGCCCTTGAACTTTTCCAGACTCTACTCAGGGAAGGATTTCTGATCCTGCTTCCTTTTTGGTAGAATACCACCTTCATCGGAGAATGAGCTGCCAGGATAGGCGGGCACCGCTAATTATAAGCTGTTGCTAAATACAGCAACTGGCATCAGGAGTCTGAGCAGGGTTGCAACATCTCTCAACACTTGGGGAAAATAGTGTCCTTGCCATCCTTCACGTTAAGATGTGCCACTCTAGGCCACCTAGTAAAGGGGTCATCTTAAAGCCTCAGCAAGCAACTGGGGGACTGTGGTTCCCTCTAGGTCTGTGGGCAGGGTAGGGAGAGTAGCCTGGAGGGACCACATCATAGCCATCTGACCCAAAGCCCTCTTTGGAGGTTCCTGTTCTTCCAGAAGCCACTCCTTGCCCAAGGCCTTCCATTTCCTGGCCAGACCACAGCTGTCTAAGAGCGGGTCCCACAACAGATGCCAAAGGCTCCGTGGGTGGAGGACAGGCACCAGGGGTTCCCAGAATAGCTGTGGTCACAGATTATAGGGCCAAACTATCTCAACCCTGGCAATGAAGAGCCCAGGGCTCCATGCCTGACAAGGACAGGCTGGCTATAGAGGGATGAATGTGTACACACACACACACACACACACACACACACACACACACACACACACACACGCCCCACACAGTTGATCAGAAGGGGTTGCCCTTATAGTCCATGGGTCCAGCCCACTATGGACCACTGAGGCTTGCTCCAAATAGGGCCACACTGGAGCCCCATAACCTTCACCCCCCAGCCTTGCTTAACCTGCTCCCAGCTGTACTCCCTCCCCTTCCCGAGACACGCAGAATGGAATGAAGAGGAGACAGCAGGCTTGTATTTCCAGGGAGAGGCCTCAACAGAACTAAGACTACCCCTAACCCCAAGCAGCAGGGAAGTTAACAACTACCCTGCCTTAAAGAGGGAAGAGAAAGAAGAGGAAGGGATGGAGTGCCAACAACAGGAGATAGATGGAGACAGCCCTGGACTGCAGCTGGGAGAAAGCCTAGTTACAGAGAGCCTGGAAGCAACAATACTTTGGAAGGAGACCAGAGCAGACCTGCGGATGAGAAACAGGCCTGTGACAAGCAGAAACATGCTGACTGTTCAGACAGGCTGCCCCCCTCAGCTCAGGACACCAATGTGAGGCCCACCAGAACTTTTGGTACCCAGCCTTGGGTAGAGTCAGTGCCCCTAGAGGGTGGGAGGAAATCCTGGAGAAAGTGCTATAGGCCACAGCAGAGAGCTTTCCCCAGGACCCTATGTCCGCACAAAGATGGGGCCCTTGGGGTACTGGGCAGGTGACACAGGACACTGTGTAACTGTGCTGTGTAGAACTGACCTATGTTGTCCTGTCAGGTGGAAACTTTTACTTTCCCACTTACTAGATGGGGAAACTGACAGTCACAAGGCCAAAACTTCAAGGCTATTGGATTCAAAGACACCTTAGGTTCCAGTGTCTGCACTGCTAAGGCCCAGGCTTCCTGCACATCATAGGGGTCCCCAAGGTCCCCAAGCTCTGCTTTACTAAGGAAGTGCCCACCATGTTGGGGAGGGACAAGGCACACAAGGTCAGAGGGTGAAATACAGTAGAACACACGCTTGCAGGAACCGGTGGTTCCATCACAGAAACCTCCGCAAAAGTTGACCCCAGTCCTCAGCCCCCACTTCTAGCAGGAAGCCCTGTGCCCCAAGGCAGGGCAGGTTGCTTTGGGGGATGGGAGTGAGGTGGGGGTGAGTCCATCCCAGGGCACATTGCAACAACCACATCCTGGTTAATAAGTTCTCAATGCTCTGTTGCAAGACAAACCAACACAAGCACCAGCTGGGGCTGGGGCTGGGGCTGGGTCTACTGGCCCCACTGAGGCCCCCCAAATGCTATAGGGGAGCCCTGCAATCCAGTGTCAGGGGCATTCTTTCCCATGATTGTCCTGAAGGGAGAGGGGGACACATTGGACAAGCTCTTCACAGGAAGAAAGGTCATTCTGTCTCTTTCCAGGCCTACTTAAACTCTATTCACTGACTTTTACAAGCCAGCTGCTGTGAGGAGATTCCTATCTGACCAGTCATCACCAGGTCCACATTGGCTCTGAACTGACAGCCCTCCTGGCTCCCATCCCTGCCCAGGGGCACTAGGAAACTATCTCATTAACCTACTGCTTAGCCCAGTGGGTCATCTCAAAATCCATACAGCAGCCCTACTTTGTGGTGCAGGCCTGTGATCCTAGCTGCTTAGAAGGCTGAGGCAGGAGGATCACAAGTTTAAATACAGCTTAGAGTACCCAGATATCCTAGACAAATATTGAAACCCTGACTCAAAGTTGAAATTGAGGAGGAAGGGCTAGGAAGCTACAAGTAAAGCCCAATGGTAGAGCACATGACATTTGCCTAGCATGAAGGACACTTGCTGCTGGTTTGTCTCCCATCAGAGTCCAGATGCTGTCCATGTTTCCACTGAATGTGACAGAAAACATCTGCAGTCACTGTGCTGGATAGCTTCCTGTCAAGTTGACACAGGCTAAAGTCTTTTGGGAGGAGGAAACCTCAATTAAGAAAATGTCCCTACCAGATGGGCCCATGGGGAATTTTCTTTTTTTATTTATTTTTTTTATATATTTGTATTAGAAACAAGATTGAATTACATGACGATCCCAGTTCCCATGGGGCATTTTCAAATGATTGATCTGATAGGACCCACTGTGGGCAGTGCCAACCCTGGGCTGGTGTTCCTGGGTACTATAAGAAAGCGGGCTGAGGAAGCCAATAAGCAGCCCTCCTCCGTGACCTCTGGTTCATCTCCTGCCTCCAGGTTCCTGCCTTGAGTTCTTTTGATGATGGACTGCCATGGAAGTATAAACTGAAACAAACTCTCTTTGGGTCGTGGTATTTATCACATCAACATACACCTTAACTAAAGCCCAGTCTAAGTCAGCCTCCTTTTAATTTGTTCACAGTGCTTACTACTGATGGAATCATTTGACCTGGGGTAGGGGTAACCCTCTGGAAGTCAGTTCTGTGAGTAAGGGAACCCTGATGTTTTCCTCACCCAGTGTCAATGACTAAAGACTGGAGAATGTCTCACCTCCTAACCTGCCATTCAAACCCATTCAGTGTTGAGAACTGGTCTCCAGATTACAGCACCTCTCCGCCAGTTTTCAGAACCCTACGCACCAAAGCCCAGCACCGCACAGCATGCACAGGCCTTCTGCTCCTCCAATAGACGTACCCACATGGATTCAAACCCCACTCTTAGTACTTATTTCTGTCCCAGTTTGCTTTCAGTTGCCGTGATAAAGCACCATGACCAAAAGCAACTTGGGGAGGAAAGGTTTTGTTTATTTCATCACAAGTCATTCTCCATCACTGAAGGAAGTCACTCAAACAGGAACCTACAGTCAGGAATAAAGGAGATACCATGGAGAAACAGCTTACTGACTTGATCCCTGTGGCCTGCTTGGCATGCTTTTTTATACAGCCAGGACCACCTGCCCAAGGATGACACTGCCCACAGTGCCTTGGGCCCTCCTATATCAACTATTAATCCAGAAAATGCCCCTTCAGGCTAGTCTGATGGAAGCATTTTCTCAACTGGGTTTTCCTCTCTCTAGATGAACCTTAGCTGTGTCGAGTTGACAAAAAACTAACCAGTTTATTCAGTTTCCCATCTAATCAACTGCTATGCTTCTTTCAGTCTACTCCAAGTATCTTTGCTTTGTAAAGTGGAAAGAATAAACCCAAATCACCATCCACCACCATGCAAGGATGGCAGAGGAACAAAGCCGTGCGAACATCCTTGGAGCTGCAATGGCACTGTCACCTGTGGGGATAATGGTGTATTGGGCAGCTGTCCTATCACCCCCTCCCTTGACTCTGGGCTCTAGGACTCAAATCCTGTCCCCACAACTCTTGGCTTAAGAAAGCCGATTCTTTCCCCCTGATCACAGTTAACTCCCTGCTCCTACCTGAGTTGACTGACCTGTCAGAGAGCATTTCCCCAGGAGTCTCCTGAGCTCTGGACTCCAGTTGACCTGGTGAGCCTCTCCATCCAACAGCCACGCCCTCTCCTTTTGCTATCAGTCTGACATTTAGGCTAAGGGATTCTGAGACTCTTCCAATCTCTTGGTTGGCAGATCAAATACCCTAGCCCCACCCCTCAATGTGGGTCTAAGAGCAGATGACATGGAGACCTGGGGTTTTAGTATCAAAATGCAACTCTTTGAGGTGGGACACCTATAAGTTCTCCTGCTCCTAGACAAGCTCAGTGGCAACAGGTTCAACAGACATGTGGTTAGCGGTGTGAGCAGTGGGGGAGCCCAGCCACCAGGCCCAGGCCAAAGGAGCAAAGGACAGAAGGGGGCCTTGGCGATGGGCTGTGGCACCAACACTAGGAGCCCAAAGGGAAGGGTGGCATGAGGGGACAGAGATGTCTTAGGCAGCTGTCCTACTCCACCATGCTATCTTCTCTCTGATTTGGCTCTGAGCCAGAGTTGGTAGCGGATCCTGGGGTGGGAGGACTAGAATTGGCTCCTCCCTAAAATGAGGCCAGTGAGATCCCCAGGGCAGCTAGAACCCAGCCCCTAAGCCCTCATTCGCCCATAAATTTCTCCCCATGAGCCACTGATGACCCAAACTTGGCTGGAAAAACAGGGGCATGTCCCCCTGAGGTCTAGGACAGTGGGACCCTGCCCCCTGCAGCCAGACCAGTCTACCTGTCAGTAGACTGGTCCCACTGTCTACCTGTCAGTGCCTACCACAAGCACACGTTTCTCCCCTGAAGTGAGTGAAGAGCTAGCTCTTGGAGATGAGGTGGGGTTCGCTCTGGTGCACCAAAGACTGAAAAGCTAGCAGCTGGAAACCTAGTCTAGTGGGGTGTGCACATCAGGAGAGACTGGAAGGTAGGGATGGCAGCTGAGGAAGCTCAGAGACCTATCTCAGGCTATGGGGAATGGAGCCAGGGTCCGTGGGGACTTCCCAGGCTAGACAGCATGAGGCCAGCCTGGGGGTGACAGGTGTAGATGACAGCCCAACCTGAGCAAAAGTGCTGAGAGGAAAGCATGAGCCCCTTCTCTAAACAGACTTACACTTTTCTCTCCCCCCACTCACACCCCCTCTCCTCCAGATCCTGTAGGCAAGGATGATCCCAGGGAAGTGGTTGTTTCTTTTCTCTTCTCAGACCTAGCTAGATGAGGTGGCAGGAGGGATGTGTCCCAAGAGGCATGAAGACATGCTGAGAGCCACCAAGACACATGCTCCTCTGCAGACACCACCCAGGGCCCAGACTCTCATCTATCCTCTCATACCACACAGCAGTGATTGAGCGCTGAGGGGCCGGAACCACCATGGCCCAGGACTGGGTAAACATTTGTCTACAATGAATGACAGGGTGGACAGAGACTGTGGCAACAGCAGACACTGGGACCACACCCTAGACTATGCCAAGTGACACTTTAGACATGAGGAAGAACCTATACAGGGCTTAGCCATCCACCAATAGGTCCTCCGTAAGGGCAGGAAGGCTCCCTCGGGGTGGCAGGAGGAGGGCTTTCAGAGGTATCTAGGCACAGCCACTTGTGTCTGGTCATGGAGAGGTAACTTAGTTGGCAGAGTGAGTAGGCATGGACCTGTTGACTACTCCTCAGGCCTCCCCAGTTCTGTTAACCTGTATCCCAGCCCAACCCTGGCCTCCATCTAGGGGTCCCTAAGGAATCCAATGTGATGAAAGGGCTGGGGGTCAAGCACCTTCTACTGTAACATTCAAGCTCACCCTCCCAAAAGCCCTGTAAAGATAGATTCAGCACCTATTCCATAGATGAGACTGCTGAGACCCTGGGAGGGGACAGACCCCCCAATCCACCAGCTTGGACCATGTCCCTCCATGGATATGTACCACCCTGAAAACCGTTTTCCCTGTCCTGAGTAGCCTCTGCCCACCGTAGAGTACAATCCTGTTGGTAAGTGAGCAGACCCCACAGACACAGACACAGGATGGGCAGACCATCACAGACGTAGCCACTGCCTATTCACCTCCAGCCCCTCCACACCTTCAAGACTCTCAAGGCTCAGAGAGTGGGGACACTGACAGCATCCCCCTAGACTGGCCGTATGCTCACCACCACCATCACATCCCGACCCAGACAACGGTAACCCAGACAATGGTCACCTCGCCAGCCAGCAACCGGGAAGAAGACCCCTGCAAGGAGTAGAAGGCACCTATGTTCCACAGGGGCCTCCAGCTAGTGGAGCCCCGCGGGCGGGGCCAAAGCGCACTCACCGGGACGCAGGAGCAGGAGCGTGCACAGGAGCAGGAGCGCAGCGCCCAGACTTGCCACCACCAGCAACCGCTGCCGGCGGCGGCAGCAGGAGCGCCTCCCCATACTGTGTCCTGCACGTGGCAGGCAGTTATCCGGTACAGTACATTCTCCCACTGAGCAGTCAAGACCCAGGGCACGCCCAGTCCTGACCTTAGTCTAGGACCCGCCCAGGAGTGGCGTCTAGCGTCTAGCGCTTCTGCCAAGTGATAGGTTCCCGCTCAAGCTGGCTGAATGGGTGAAGCTGGAACCCGGACAGTGAGACGCAGCGTCTAGCCCTGTTACTAGTCATTAGGACCCTCTTCCCTGTGCAGGTGGGAATTAGGAGTGGAGAAATTCTCAGGTATAGGTGCCCCAGGTCCATGGGCCATACTGGCAGAGCCAGAAGTTGCAGCTCGTGTCGTGAGAGCCAAAGCCATGTTGCTCAGAAACTCAGGCTCCAGGTGCTCATGCTGGACGCTGAACCCTGGGCTTTAACCGCTAGTACTGGGCAGCTATTGTAACCCTAGGCATGACAGCTCTTGTCCCCAGGCTTTGGGACTCCTGGCTCTCAATATTGGCAAATGTCACAGCTTTCAGGCCCAGGGTGCTGGGACCCTCTGCTGTTAAGAATCAATAGCTTCTTGCTGGGTGATGGTGGCACATGCGTTTAATCCCAGCACTCAGGAGACAGAGGTAGGCGGATCTCTATGAGTTCAAGGCCAGTCTGCTGTACAGAGTGAGATCCAGGACAGACTCCATAGCTACTGAGAAACCCTGTCTCCAAAAAAAAAAAAAAAAAAAAAAAAAAAAAATCAGTAGCTTCTTCTCTCGGCCTGCTTTTTCCAGCCTTAGCCCCTTGGTAACTTCTCTCCACTGGCCTTGCCTACAAAGCCTCTGCTCTCCACAGCAGCCCCTGGGTTCCCATTCTGGAGAAGACCACGTTGGAGAAACCCTCCACATGGCAACACACATGATCATGAACAGAACAGAAGTGTGGCAAGCAGTGTCTGCACCAATCAGGGCCAGCCCTTTTTGCAAATTAAGGACTAAGTTTGCACCAGTCATGGCACAGGTACCAGGGAAAAGGCTCCTCCTCTGTTGTGGGTAAAAATACCCAAGAGTCATGTTGATTTCCCAGACACTGATGGTGGGCAGAAAGTCCTGCATTCTGTGCGAGCTGGTTGGAACAGCAGTAACTGAGTCCATGAATCAGGAGCTAGGGTGTGCCTTGAGATCCAGCAGCTGAAGTCGGAGTTCAGCTTCCCAAGGTGCCCAAAAGAGTTTAAGGCAAACAGAAACCATGAGGAAAGTGCCAAGGTTGTAGGGCTGAAAGACCTCCTACCAGAGAAGGACCAAATAGCTGTTGGGGTCACAAATCTTCCAGGGCCAAGGATCTTAACTTATGTAATGGGAGAAAAAACAACAAGCAATAGAGGCCTCCTTGTAGCTGTCTTAACTAAAGGGCCTGACTCTTGTCCAGTGCCCCAGGGGCCCACAGCGACTTTCAGGTAGGAAGGGAGGTGGGCTGCACCACCATGCAGGACAGCAGTAAAGTGTGCAGGGCAGAGAAAACATGAGGGAGTCCATCTCTGACCCGGCTCTACCTGTTCCAGTTCGCTCTGGGGTGTCGTCATTCTGTCAAGGCCCAGAAGCATGTCAAATAGTCCCAAATAGTGTCTCCTGCTTTTCTTAATGGCGGAGGCCAGAGCGCTGAGCTGAACCACAGCTCAAGGTTATGGGACCTGTACGTGATAGTCCCCGCCTCATGCCAGGGTCAGTCATGAATGTTTCTCCCTTTCCCCACATTGTAGCCTCACTTTCTTATGTGCCTTCAGGTCCTGCTCAAATCCCAGTCCATGCAGGACTTCTCCAGCCTTGAGGAGAAGTAAGGGGTCTCAGGCATGTCTTCCTGAGCTCTAGGCCTGTTGTGCCTCATTGTGTCACCTACTGCTGCTGCAGGCATAGGGTGTTTGAGTTGTAGAGAGACACCAGAGTAAAGTCCAGCCCTTGACAGGTAAAGAAATGGCCGGGATTGTGGCTTAGTGATAGAAGGTTCTCCTCAACTGTGAAGCCCTGGGCTACATCCTGATGCCACAAAATAAAAAATAGAAGAGAACAACATCCAGCAAGTCCTGTGGGCTGGGGATTGCACCTGACTGGAGGGTCTTGGTGCCTCGAAGCCAGCCTCTTAAGGAACCTAAGCAAGCAGCTGGCCCTGTGTGTGCAGGAAGGGCATGGCTGAGCCAGCACTTAGCCTTGAGGTGTAGGGTTAGGTGCTGCACCCAACACTAGTGTCTTTCATGCCATCTGTGTTTCAGCTCCTGTACAAGAGAGGTAAGATTAAACCCCACTGTGTTACGGAGGTTAAATGAGAAGCAGAGATATTTTAACAGTTTCAGGTACAGCAAGTGTCAGACTTGATATTAGTATTCAATAATCCTAATTTCTCCCTCTTATTACCTATTAGTAAAGACTATGAAATAAATAACAGTTATACATTTAGCTTCAAACAGCGATGATGGTTCTACCTTGCTGGGTGGGAACCCAGCTCATACTAAAACCACATCCTTCTCAAGATTCCCCATCCCCAGGGAATGCCTGCTTCCTTCCAGCTCAGCCCAGAACCCAAGGATTCTGGATCACCCACAATGCATATCTGCCCCAAATCCCACCCAAACTCACAGGGATCCTCAGACATTCACTCCCAGAGCCTGGTATAGTCTTCCAATCTTCAGTGTTTTGTCCATCTAGGTTGCCACCTAGTGACTAAAATTGAGAACAACTCAGCCCACTATTGTCCCTAAAGATAGGAGTCCCTGAAGGCAGCCAGGAAGATTTGAAGTCTTGGAACCTATGTGCAGATGCCTGGTAGATTCCTGGCCCGGGTAGCTCCTGGAAAAGCTTCCTTCTTCCTGCTGCAAAGACCCTGAGTGAGTGTCAATTATAGCTAAGTAACAAATTGCCTTGAAATTTAGCAGCCTCCAAAAACCACTTCAGTGCTGTGGACCAAGACCTGGGGAAGAGTCCCGGTAGTATGTTTCCCCCAGGGGTCCCATGCTACTCCAGTCAGATGGCAACTGAGATGGCCATCAGCTGGAAGTCTAGCAGGCAGCACATTTGATGGCTTCATGATCACACATGACATATGTGGCTGTTCTTACTCAGGGGCCTAGAACCTTGGGACCACAGAACATGACTGTGTGGCCTGTCTCACCTCGAACCACTGAGGCTGGACCAGGTCCCAGTGACAAGACTGGATCCATGCCTCACACAGAAACATGCCTGGGAATTTGAAGACCTGATTGTATTCTGTCTCTACATATTAAAGGAGCAGTGAGAAGGCTCTGGGGTGGGTGCTAGTGGAGGGGTGAAATGAGAGAAGGGACAGCTCCCCACATCCTCCACTGGTTGATTCTAAACACCACAAATCTGACAGCTCAGATTTCTGGATGCTGGTTGTGCCTCTTAGCTTCCGTGTTGGTCAGCGTGGGGGCCTAGCAAGAGGCCAAAGCTGTCTCTGTAGATGAAGTTCTTCAGTGTAAGTATCAATGAGAAAAATGCCTACATCTCATATGGTGCTGATTACACGGGCTCATCTTCACGGCCCTTCATGTGTGGATGTCATCCCATCCCCAGCCACATCTGTGAGATACTAGTGTTGTTAGGGTCATATTTTGGTGTCCATGGTGCTAGAACCTGCAGATACCACAGTCCCTACCTTACATGTTATAGAGTGGTGTGTAACCTGTGAAGTCCTCCCATTTACCTCCAGTCATCCCTGGATGCCTTATATCTAAAACAACAACACTATCATTGTGCAAACATCCTTTAGACTGTATTGCTGGAGGACCCATAGTCAGGACAAACATAGGTACAGGTCCATACAGGTGCAATTATAGAAATATCCTCATATGTGGATCGTGAGGGCCAACCCTCCTTTCACTCATGGAGACCCAGAGAGGCCAAGAAACTTGCCCAGTGACACACAGCTAGTGAGCAGGGTAGTCGTGGCTCAAGTATAGCACACTGCCGTGTTCAGCCTATGTGAGCCCCTCATCTCTTTCAAACATTCACAATGATTATTTTCTGATTAAATAACTTATTCTAGCATGTTTTGTGAGATGGCACAGGTGCCCCATGTGCCATCTGTCTCCCCAGCAGTGACCTCCTGAACATCCCAGTCAGGATGCTTTTTTGAGGCTGTCTGCCCCCCTTCTTGGGGAGAATATTAAAAATGCCTGAATTGGTTAAAAACATTTAAAAATCAGATTTCACAGAGTTTTTAGTTTTTTCCTGAGAGCGGGGCTCTGTAGGACAGATTATTGAGGGTCTCTGTTAGGGGAAAGGGAATTGGAACAGGGAACAGAGGCCAGCCAGCCAGGTATAATGCAATGCCACCTAGGAGAAAGCCCACTAGGACTGAGAGATAGTGGATTGCTGCTTGTGGGGCTATTTCTACCCCCACCACTACCCCCAAAGGCCAAGGGAGTTAGGGTTTATCCAACTCTGCAGCCTGCTTCTGCCCAATGTGGGAAGAATAGGCTCTAGGCACCAACACCAGTGAGGAGAGAGAAGCCTGTGCAGCCTCTGGAGTGTGGGCCCAAGTGTTCAGGCTCAGAGAAGGGAGGACCATCGCTGGGGCTGCCAAGGTAGGCCTACCTCATTCAGTCTGGTCCCAGGGTGCAACAGTACCTGGGACAAGGTGGTAGTGCTAGGCCCCCTGAGCCTGTAAGATCAGGAGGCTAGGTAGGGGCTAGGAGACCTCCATGTAGGGGACACTGAGGAATCCAGCAGGAGGTACTAGGGACCCCAGAATGAAGAAGACTTTTCTCAGCCACAGACTCTGTGTAACATCATTGACAAGGGAACGAATGTGAGGTTTACTCCCTGACCATTCAGTTCCCAATCAAATACCAACAGGCGTTCTGACCCCATCTACCTGGAGCACTTGCCCCACCCCACAACTGAGGGCTGGGTCTCCAAAGCTGCCCCACTTTAGATAATAGTCACAAGCAAGGCTGTGACCTGTGCTTTGATTGGCTGGCTATACATCAGGGTTCCTATGGCCTGCTCCATTTGTTAAAAATGGCCTGAGAAGACCAGCGGTGGTGGCACACGCCTTTAATCCCAGCACTTGGGAAGCAGAGGCAGGCAGATCTCTGTGAGTTCAAGACCAGCCTGGTCTACAAGAGCTAGTTCCAGGACAGCCTCCAATGCCACAGAGAAACCCTGTCTCAAAACAACAACAACAACAACAGCAAAACCAAAAGCAAACAACCAACCAAACAAAAAAAAATGGCCTAAGATTGAAACTTGAGTGTAGATGGACTGACTAACACATCCCCGGTGCCCCCAAAAGAGAAATCAGTCAGAACCTGCTAAAATCAGGCAGTGTGTTTTTTTATTGTCCCATCTGCCAGAGGAATCAGGTGTCAGCTGAGCAGAAAGTGCTAAGGGTGAGGTGTGAGAGGAGTAGGATGGACACTGACCAGCCCCCACCCCACCCCCCACCCCCAACTTCTGGGTACTCTACGGGCCTCTGGTGTCTTGATAGGAGCCCTGTGAATCCTTACTTGGGGACTCCGTGGGATTCTTTGCACAGTCATGACTGATGGCATTGGTCAATGGTGATTAACCTCTTTTCCCCTCCCCTCCCTGGGTCCAGGAGTAGAAAGTTTTCCTGGTAAACAAGAGGCTTCTGGGGCTGTCCAGGGGCCGCAAGGCCAACTCTCTAGAACACTGAGATAAAAACACTCTCATCACCCTGGAATTCCACAAGATTTGTGAACTGGAAATTGGACAGCACTAGAGGCAAGAGTCCCCTGGGTCCCCAGCCACAAGAGCTTCAGAGACCAATCTGTTTTTCTCACTATGCTATACCGTCTCTTGTTAACATCCCACCCCACGCCATCCTGTACACTGGACTCAAGAGCTGGAGCCACTTCAATGGTGTCTCCATCCAAACGTGGGGTCCCAGGGCTCCAATCTGAGCGTCACTCATGACCAGCTACAGAACTTCAGCAGTCTCCTTGCCCCTCTGACCTCAGTTTCCTGTTTGGTGAAATGGGACTTGAGCTCTGAGAACCATTGCAAGGGTCAGCCACCTTGTGTGCTGCTCAGACTAGCCAGTGTGCTGCTCAGACTAACCTTCCCATTCTGCCTAAGGCTGGGTGTCATGACCTTTTTCTCAGAGGGAGGAGTTGGTCGCCACCCACCTGTGTACAAAGAGACAGGACAAAGGCCACAAGGTTGATCAGGAATGGTCACCTACCAGGACCACTGGGACTCAATGGTGGGTCCTTCCTGGCTAGGGGGAGGGAAGGGACACCCAGCATTGGCCTCTGGTCTGTGGCCAGGATGATGAGGACGGCTTTCTTGCTGAGCTGTTAATGATTAGGAGATGCTGGGGGTGTGGAGAGCTATTACCACACCTATCATCTGGCCCCTTCCTGCTCAAATGTCAGGGGAGAGGGAGTACAAGGGACTCACTTCTGTAGAGTTTGAGCTGGGTTCAATTTCATGTGACTCCCCATCATCAAGACACATATTCCAACATTGCCACCTGTGTGACATCCTCTAAGACAGAAAACCTCAATCTCAGAGTTCACCGGCACCTCAAACTCCATCTAACCTGAGTCTGTCCTGCAAGGAGCTGCTCCTCCTGGTAACACTCAGGCAGCCTGCCTACCTGCCAGTGATCCAAATGACCTGCCCTTTGTGCCCTCTCTGGACCCAATGAGGGGCTGGAGGAGGTGGCCTTGGGGCTGTCTGTCCCCACCCTGCTTGCCCCTGACTGCCCAGTCACTTTGTGCTGGCCTCCACTTCAGTCTCTGCAGCCATGTCCAGCCTCCAGGAACTGTGCTCTGGCCTGCCCCTACGACCCCTTCCTGAGAACCGGGGGCGCTGGGCTGGGGTGCCACATGCTCCGGTCAGGACTCCAGACCTCAGCCCTGCAGAAGAGCAGGTAACAACTGTTACCCAGTCCTCTGGGGCCCTTTGGTGTCTTTTAGATGGTCAGGGTGTCTGGGTACCCCTTCTCTCCACACCTCAGTTGCCCACCCTCTCCCCACCAGCTCCCAGAGAAGGGTGAGGGCATGTGTTAGTGTCTGTCACCAGATAGTCCTCAGCTGAAGACACCCTGGATTACCTTAGGCTTGGAATTGGGCTCCTCACTTCCCAATGTGAGGGACATTGGGAAGCACACAGGACACTGGGGCTCAAGGTCACCCAAACAGTACTTGGTGGTGCTATGGCCACCTCCAGTGAGGAAGAGGAAGAGGCAGGGTGTGAAGTGGCCCTGGCTCAGCACTTCACATGAACCTTGCCCTGCCCCAAACACTGAATGACTCTTGTGTCCTCTGCACCAGTTTTTCTTTTGTCCCTCCCCCAAAACCTCCCAGTGCCTGCAGCTGTGCAGTCACCATCAAAGACACACAGGGCTGAGAGTGATGGCAGCTCAGGAAGGGCCTCACCTGGTGGCCGGCTTTGCCCTAAGGAGTGAGGCCCAAGAACTTTGCAACTGAAACAAGTCCCTGAGCCATGGGGACTTGTTTTCTGAAAGACACAGAAGTATGAAGGCTCCTCAAGCCCCCATCCTCACCCAGAAACTGCTGTCCCGGGGGAGACCACCCCTAAGCTGTCTCCAAGCTGCCCACAGGCAGGGAGCATGCTTAGGAGCAGCTGGGGTAGGATCCTGGTGGACAGGAGCTGAGAGGGACAGCAGCAAAGGGTCCTAGAAAATGGGGTGGTGCCAGGCAAATCAGGGCTGGTGCTAGAGAGAGAGAGGACAAGGTTGGGGGCGGGGGGAGGGGGGTGTCACCCTGCTTTTCTACTTGACCTGTCTGGTTCTACTGAGCTCCTATCTCTGTTGTGGTTAATGTCCCTCCCCCCTTGGTCACCTCCCAGCTAGGCACCACTGCCTTGACACTCAGCCCCAAGAGGTGGGAAGGCTCCTCCACCCGAGGGCCTCTGCTGACATCCATGAGGCTGGGTGATAGTGATCAGCCTCCAGGGTGTTTTGTGATGGCAGGACAGCAGCCAGGAACTGAGAGATTGGGCGCCTTCCATTTCATTCCTGTATGTCACCAGGTGTTTGAAGGATGCAGCATCCTTAAAGAAAAGGCGACTTGAAGATCTGGGGAGTTAGAGGTGGCAAGGGCTAAGGTTTCCCTCTGGGATGGAGTCCCCAAACCAGTAACAGCTTCTCTTTCATTGAATTGTTTTCTATGTGTGCATGAGCATGTGTGTGTGTGTGTGTGTGTGTGCAAGTCTGCATGTCTGTGTGTGTGGTTTGTGTTCCTGTGTATGCTCATGTATGTTCAGGTGTGCATACTTTGAGTTCTCCCTTGTTTCCACTGCTACATACTGTTCCATTTTTTCATTGTTTGGATGGATGAGGGGGGGCGGGTTGTTCCCTGCTTCCTGCTTTTCTTTGACAGCTTTCTATTTAACTAAGGAGTGCTACCTATTACACTTTAGTCAGTGTACACTCAGCAAGGTTTGTTCAACATTCACAGTGTGTCTCACAGCATGAGAAGTTCTTCTGTTAGAAGCACCTTCTTTTATACCCCCTCCTCTATGTGCAAGTTTCTTTTAGTGACCGCCCCCAAATCCTGCCTCATAAACTGCACTGAGTTGGGCATTAAATGCCATAGCTGAGCCCTTTACTATGGTGGGCCCGAATGCCTGTCTCTATTAACACACTATCCTGAGAGCCCTTTCCCTTGGTGGCTCTGCATACCTGTCTTTGCCAACACACCATCATGAGCTTGAGGGTGGGGTTCCCTGGGGATTACATCTAGGTTCCAGCAACACCAGCATGAGCTCATTGAATCCATGGATAAGAACAGTTACTAAGAAGCCAACCCCATATCCTACAAGGGACCTAGGAGGACTTTTTGGCAGAGGTGATTGTGGCAGCTTAGACAAAGTTTCTAGGGGGGAAATGAGGTGTATATGGAGACAAGAGAAACAGTGCATGGAAAGGCAGAGATAGCCCTTCTAAAATGTGGAAGGTGGAGGCAACTCCATGCAAGTTGAGCTGGGTCTGGGTCTGTGGGTGTCACCAGATAGGTAGTGGGGACCTGTGACGGTTTCTGACTAGGGGCATGGCTTGGTGCTTAACAAGACCCATGCCAGCATTGTATAAGCATTTTTGTAGAGACGTTAGGCAGGGCAGAGGTTCATGAATGCGTCAGGTGACAGTTCTGTGCTCTAGCACTCACAGGGCCCATAGGTGATCCCAACAGCGCACTAAGCATGCAGTTCATTAGCACCTAGGAGGTAGGCTCTAATATCACTCCTACTTTACAGGCAAAGAGAGTAAAGGAGAAGCAGGGCACACGGGTGCTGCTGGGAAAATCCCCTGTTCATACAGCTATATCCCTAAAAACATTGCATCCTCAAATCTACATTGTGCCACATGACACTCAGCTTGGTCCTCACATCTCTGATTCTAGCTGTCCCTTGTCCTCTTACGAGGACCTCCATGATTATGGGACTTTTCACTTGGATATTCTAGAGCAGTCCCAAGCTCCTTAACCTTTTGTTGTGAAAAGTGCTTTTCCCCTTGTAAAGAAATGTGCATGTTGGTGGATGAGAATGTGGCCATGGTGGGGTCATTATAGTAGCTACCATAACAACTATGCACACTGCCCCAGTATGCCCATCCCAGAACACAGCCTCTGTACCATGTCTCATGCCAGCTGCCTCTCTGGGCTTACAGTGGCTTCTGCTTTCCTCCTCTGAGTCTGCAGTCCCAAGGGCAGATGGGACCAAGAAGAGAGAGCTTAAGGTCTGCCTTCATAATGGGAGCCAGCTGTCATCAGGGAAGGCTTTCCAAAAGACAAAGCAAGTGTTCTCAGAGTGGCTCAACCAGTGTCTGAGTGGAGCAAAGGCAACCCAGGTGGAGAGAGAAGATAGACTACAAAGAGGTCCTCAAGGCCCTTAACCCAGCATCTCTCTCCTCTCCTCCCCAGCTGGCTCTGAGGAATGCCCTGCGCTACTTCCCACCTGATGTGCAGAAGCTGTTGGCGCAGGAGTTTGCCCAGGAGCTACGACAGTTCGGACACATATACATGTACCGGTTCTGCCCCAGCATTGAGATGAGGTGAGCCCTCGTGGGTGTGGCTTCAGTTAAGGCTGCGCAGAAGTCAGGAGGAGCCTCAGGGGATCCATGGCTAAAGTGGTCAGTCTGTCTGAGCTGGAGGACCTATGGAGGTGGCACAGTGAGTTGACACCCTTGTGCAGAGAAAGTAGGTAGTGGGTTGTCTTTTGGGGGATCTGGCACTGACATGCCTGGTGAGAGGATGGGGTCTTTATCAGATAGGTCTCTGGCCTGCATTCAGTCCGGTTGATTCTGGAGCACAGAGTCTCTCTGGGACACTGTGTCTTTTGCTATGTAGGGAAGAGCTGGTGAGAGAAGGATGGGGTGGAGAATGGATGTCAACGACTTCAAATCTGTCATGTTCTCCGCTGAAGTTCTTATACTGTGGCACGCACAGCATCATGGGAAGCTTTGTGACAGTACGGAATGCTGGGCCTTAGGGCTCAGCTGCCCTGAAGCAAAGCTGAGAATCTGCATTTTGGATGCTGCAGTTTGTGTCATACAGAACCATTGTTCTGAACATACCAGAAACCCAGACTTGTTCTAAATGGCCCAGAGAGTCTTGTGTCCCCATGAGATAGGAGCCATTGCCCTTCTCCCCCTCTGTACCTGCTGCCACCTGCCATGGAATTGCTGCCCAGGGATGTTTAATGAGTTAATGAAAGAACAAATGATCAAACTGACCAAAGGTAGAAGGCTCTGGAAAGCAGCCATCAGCTTCCAGGCTTGAAGTAGGAAGGGAGAGTGATTGGGGTGGACTGGACTTCCTGCTCTGGGCGTGTGGGAACTCAAGTCACCTAGCACCCGATGGATTCTGATGCTCCACATCCCTATGCTTCTAAGGACTTCTCTCAGGTGCTTTGTCAGCTGGGCCAGGGCAGCATCTTAGTGGGACGGGAAGCCTGAGGGGTCCCTTGATGCCTGATGCTGGACTTGCGCTTGCAGGGCCTACCCGATTGATCAGTACCCATGCCGGACACGAGCAGCTGCGGCCATCATGCACATGATCATGAACAACCTGGACCCTGCTGTGGCCCAGGTAATGGCAGGGAAACAGAGGCCACCATAGTCCAGAGAAACATGACCTGAGATTCTGAGTAATGCTAGCAAGCCTGGTATTCAAGGCTCAGCTTACAAAGCTGGCATAAGACAGTTCCTGGACCTTTCTCTGTAACTATAGGGCAAATCAAAAAATAGGAAACAAATATCAAATAACAATAATGCATAACAGCATATTTGTATAAATGCACCTATAATTTTAGCTTTTTAATGGCCACCTGAAAACAAAAGCATTTAGTAATAGTTTATCATAGGGTATCTTAGAATATTATTAACGAGATCCCTTACATCCCTCCTTTTACACGGAATCTTGATGTGGAGGATATATTTCACTTGGTCAGCCATGCTCAGTAGCCCACATGGCTGGTGGATGCTACGTGTCCCTTTAGGCTTCTCACCTTGCCCTTATGTCATTGCTCCTTTGAGTATAGCTGTCGGTAGGGGCCCTGCTCTCTCTGTCCAGGGCCCCATCTCAGATGATGCCACATCTTTTCCAGTTTCCACAGGAGCTGGTGACCTATGGAGGAAATGGGCAGGTGTTCAGCAACTGGGCTCAGGTATGGTGGCCTGGAAGGCACTCAATGGTCCATAGCTCTGCCTGATGCCTGATGATGCTTCAGTGCTGGCAGTCACCTGAAGATGCTTCACTTATAAGAAGGGGTAGAGTGGTGTTATGGGAGGTACCAGGAGACCCTGGAGATTAAAGAGGATCTGGGTAAACAAGGCCACTAGGATGGACTAACTGAGACCCGCAGGAATCCCTGGGTCTGGGTGTGGGGTACGGGACCCATGTGGGTGCCAGTTCACACTTACAGAGTCCTACATGTGCACTGTCCATTCAGTTCTGGCTGACCATGTCCTACTTGTCAAAGATGACTGAGGAGCAGACTCTGGTCATGTACAGTGGACACCCGCTGGGCCTCTTCCCCAGCAGCCCTGGTGCCCCTCGGCTGGTCATCACCAACGGGATGGTGAGTCTGAGGCAGCAGGCATGGGGTCTGCCCAGGGCCAGGCATGAGAAAGGGGGTGCTGTGGGTGAGGGGACAATCCAGACAACACTACACCACTCACACTTGGTTCCTTCCTCTTTTCTAGGTCATTCCCAACTACTCCTCCAGGGCAGAGTATGAGAAGCTGTTTGCCTTGGGGGTGACCATGTAAGTCACAGTGTCAACTAGATGCTATGGTGTCTGCCTTTCCTTGAATTTCACAATAAGACAACATGACTGTGTTAAACCTAATTTCAGGGAATACTTATTACTCTAACAAAATCGTTTCATTCTCACACAGCTGCACCCTGGTAGCTTTGCATAAGTGCTTACTGGTTGTTTTTTTTATAAGTAACCAAAGAAATGTACAACTTTGGATTCCATTGTTTCAAAACATTTTATTATGAATAATCCCAGACATACAGAAAATTGGATCACAAATAAAACATCACACAGCTGGCTTGAGGAAGACACACGAACACTTGCCCGGTTCTGGACTCTATGCAGCTCAGAGAACTTCTGTATGTTTAGAATAAGGTCATTTTACTAATGAAAAAGAAAAATTGAAAGCCATTTTCAGGGAATACCACCAAAATCCCATGGTAAAAGGCATGGTGGCATGTGTCTTCAAACCCTTCACTCACAAAGGCAAAGGCACGTGGATATCTGAGTCCAAGGTCAGCCTTGTCTACCATAACAAGTTTCACGACAGCCAGAGCTACATAATACAGAGACACAATGTCAAAGCAAAGAAACCAAAAAAAGTACTTCTTGCTTTACATGTCTGTCTGTCTGTCTGTTAATCCATCCATCCATTCAGCTTGTCTTTGGATGAACTTCAGAGTCTATTGGAGACACTGCTGGCTGTAGTTTGATCTTTGTTTTGGGTCTTTTTTTTTTCTTTTTAAAGTGATATCTGCATGTATATGATATCTGTACAGTCAACAAACTGCTGGTTGAAATGTTTGAAATCCAATTCCACACTGACCGAATGCTGGCATTTTCTTGCTGTTGTCCCTTGACAGCAAGTGTGGTTACTATAGCCACCTACACAGCATTGTGTGACGTGAATTACACAGGTTCTGTGCACATGTGCACTGTTTGACAGGCAGGATTTAGGTGTCAGAGGATTTAGGTGTCTGCTGGGGGGTGGTGTCTTGGAACCTGCTCCTGGAAAGGATTCTGATGGATGATTCTCCCACAAGACGCACTCATCCCCATGCTCTACAGAATGTGCTCTGACAAACTGTGCAGCTATGTGACTTGTCTCTTTGGGTACAGGACCCTGTAAGCAACCTGAAGGGCTTCCTGGCTGCTGACAGGGTGTGGAAGCTTTCCGTGTGCTCTAAAGCTAACTCGGGCTCTGCATCTAAAGGTTTCACCCAATGTCATGGAAGGAGTTGCACTGAACAAGAAAAGCCTGTCTGCCCCACATGGGACCCCAGGGGACTGTGTCTCCTGTATCCTTCCAAAGATTCTTCATGCCCATTGTCCATGGCTAGGGGTCAAGACCATCGTGGCAGCCTCTATACTCATGCTTGACAGGAAGAGCTCTACCGTGGAGCTTCGTGGCACCTTGCCTTTCCCCATTGACAATACAGTGTGAAGTCTGTGGCGAACATACCTGGCAATTCGTTCTCTTCGGTGGTATTCAATGGCACCATGGCCCTTCTTACAAGGCTTCCAGTCTTTAGCATGGTACAAAGGGTGTTCTGATGCTCACATCTTCATGGACCTCTGGGATCATCACTCAGGGAAACATCACATAAAATGGAATCTGAAGAATTGGGAGCCAGCGACTTAGACTCCAGGTGACAGTCCAGAGTGTAACCATGGCACAGTGCCTTCCCCCAACAACAACCTTGATGTACCCTGGATTTGCCAGGCTTCTGAAACAGATCCCTTTAGTAGAGGAAAAACGGGGCCTCAGAAAAACTAGTTGCTCTGTTTCTGGCTGTAAGTAGCCTGTGTGTTATATTTGCTGATATTATTGGCCCTGGCAACTTTTTCTGCTCCAGTGAAATCAGCCTGGGGTCAGAGGGCTGAGGGAGTGCATCCTGGTCCCCTACTCTCTCATTGTGGCCATGGGATTGGCCCACACTTTTGTTTCATAGCAGAGCTATAGGCCTTGTCTGGCTGTGGTGCAGAGGGTTTGCCACAGGGAGATGTGGGATGGGACACTGACTGCAAAAAGGATAGAAATCAGGCCTGGTCACACAGCCTATCATCCCAGCCCCTTGGGAGGCTGAGGCAGGAGGATCCTAAGGCCTGGCTGGGATACAGGATGAATTAAAATATGATAGTCTGGGCCAGTATTTTTGTCAACTTAGTAAGGAAAAAATGTTTTTCAAAGAAAAGCTAGGGCTGCAGCTCCACGGTAGAGCTCTTCCTGTCAAGCATGAGTATAGAGCAAAGGTAGGAACTGCAGCGGAGATGGGACAAGGTTCACGGTGTAAGGAAACTGAGAAGACCTGGAGACCAAAACCTTCCTGCCATCAGGGTGGCATGGATAGAAATGACCGGAACATCCCATGTGGGAGGATGGGGGAGCAGGCTCAGGCTTTTGGTTGAAGTAGTCAGCACATTGGGCTGGGGGGCAGGGGTGCCCCTAACCTGCATCAGTTGCAGAAAGCTTTTAGTCCAGCAATTTTATGCTGCAAGTTGCCTTGGGAGTGCCATGTGGCATACTAGTTGAGCTCCAAGGACCAGGAACTGTGTATCCCTGGGCCTGTGTCCCCTGAACTTTTAGGACCTGGACCTCATCTAGACAGAGGAGACATTCATAGGTTCTGTCACAGTAGACTGTGTGAGAATTATCAAATGACAGAGGCACAATCTGCAGGACTGGGATATTTGCACAATGCCAGGGCTCTATAGAGAGCTGACCTCACGGGGCTCATAGTGAGTTTCATCATCTCCAGATGACTTCTTTTATACTAACACTGTCCTCTTATGTTTGTGATACTTATTCAGTCTTTTGAGATAAGTGACATGGCCTCCTTTTTGTTTGCTTATCTTTTTGAGACAGTGTCTTGCTAGAAGCAAGAATTCGTGATCTTTGTGCCTCAGACTTCTGAGTGCTGAGACTATCGGTGTGCACCATGCCTGTATATCTCCATTTTTAGAAGAGAAAACAAAAGTTCTGGGTAGTCAGGCGTATTATGCGGTAGACTTGGTATTCATTTGCAGGCTTGTGACAACACACTCTCCAACCAGAGGAGAGAAGGGGCTGGGGAAAGCTACTGAGAGGCAGAAATCTAATAAAAGAGATAATGAACTTGGCGTTGAAAAACAAGCAACAGAGAGACTGTGAGAATCTCCTAGTCTTCAGCAAAGAGTGCAATTAGTCTAGCAGCAAATTCTACTGTCCCAATTACACTGCCCCAAACAGTGTTTGCTAATTATCCAGTGATGGCAGTGGCTGCACTCAGGCATTACTGGCGATATCGATGAAAATTCAATGGCATCTACTAATATTATCTGTGTCTGATGACCTCACAGCCTTCCTGCCTGCTTTCTTCCCTATGAACACAGCCCACAGGTGGGAAGAGATGACAGAAGGTCACCCCACTGCAACTATTCAATTTTTTCCACATAGGAAATAAGATCCAACAGGCTTCCCAGAAGGGTGGAGAGAACCATGGCTTTGAATGTCATCTGCTGTGAAGCCATGACCGGAATGTCTGTGCTGATAGGGAAAGGACCTAAGGGCAGTCTGTGAGGGACAAGCTACTAAAGCAACACCTTCAGAATGGAGCCCCACACTCAACCAAGAATCCAACAGCAGACATCTCTCCGCATGCCAGCTGTGGATCTGGTGTGTGTGTTCAGTGCTACCACCTACCACCTTGCCATGTGTCCAGTGGCACACCCAGGGTCCAGCTCCAGTATGAAGAGGCTTCCCAGTTAAGCCTACTGGATGCCACCTGAATGGAATCTTGCAGAACACGCTTTCCCACGCCAGACACCTTCATCGGGTCGTGTGGCAGGGACACATCATATCCTATTTTCTCATCCTGTTCTTACATCACAGTTCCTTTCTCTCTTTCCTCCATGTGTGGGCATTTCAATGGCTTCAGATATTGGCCACTACTGAGAAATTTGCTCTGAATGCCTTTGTGTGTGGCAAAGTAGACATTAGCATGTAGTATGGGCATGCTGGGCCATGTTCAGCCTTGCTCCGCCTAACCCAATCATCGCCATGCTGAGTTTTAAAAATTAATGGAATGACAGATTTTAGGAAAATAAAATCTATTTGTAAAATACCTGAGAGGCAGGAAGGGACAGGAGGCGCTAGCTTACTATCTCCTTAGCTTTTTATTTTTACTTTAACTTTTTAAATGTTTTGGTTAGAACATAGAGAAATGGGTTTCTCTGTGTCATCATTTTTGGTAATTTTTTTAAGTTTTATTTTTATTTCATGAGTGTGAGTGTTTTGCCTGTGTGTGTGTGTCTATGCACCACATGAATGCAGTGCCCACAGAGGCAAGAATAGGATGTTCAATCCCCTGAAACTGGAGTTATGGACAGCTCTGAGCTGTTACGTGGGTGCTGGGAGCCAAACCTGGGTCCTTTGCAAGAATAGCCATTGCTCCTAACCACTGAGCTTTCTCTCCAGCCCCATTTATAGTCATTTCTTTTTTATATGTATTTCTTTTTTTAACTTTTTATTTTTTCTTTCAGATTTTTTATTTGAATTAGAAACAAGATTGCTTTACATGACAATCCCAGTTCCCTTCTCCCTCCCATCCTCCCCTACCACTCCCCCACCAACTAAAACCCTACCTATCACATATCCTTTCTGCGCCCCCCCTGTATGGTGAGGCCTTCCATAGGGGGTCATCAGAGTCTATCGTATTCTTGGGCCTAGGCCCACCCCATTATAGTCATTTCTTATTCATCATTGTGACTATTCCCTGATGCTTGTCTGTCCCTCTTGCTAGTCCCCTTTCTTCTCTAAGTAGTCCCCCTTCTGCTTTCATGACACATACATGCTTGCTTCTTCCCTTTAAGTCTCCCTCTCCCCTCTCATAGTCTTTCTATTCTATTCTCTCTCTCTCTCTCTCTCTCTCTCTCTCTCTCTCTCGCTCTCTCTCTCTCACACACACACACACACACACACACACACACACACACGTGAAAATATTGATGTTTGTCTTTCTGACTCTGACTCCGGTTTATTCTGGTTAACCTACCGATCTCTAGTTCTGCCCGCTTGTTATAACAAAGGACAATGCAGAAGAACCTTTGAGAGTGGTTAACGATTTAGTCTAAGGCTTCTAAGTGCTGCCCTTTTCTTCTATGCTCAGGTATGGTCAGATGACAGCGGGCAGCTACTGCTACATTGGTCCCCAGGGAATCGTCCATGGCACTGTGGTGAGAGATGGGCACACATGATGAGTGGCGGGCCCCTGCAGGTGGATCTCCTGGGAGTGGACAATAAGCCCCCTGCCTCTCCTGCCTACAGCTCACTGTGCTGAACGCTGGTCGGCGTTACCTGGGCATTGAGGACCTGGCAGGGAAGGTTTTTGTCACCTCTGGGCTCGGTGGGATGAGCGGGGCTCAAGCCAAGGCTGCAGCCATTGTTGGATGCATTGGGGTGATCGCAGAGGTAAGATGGGGAGCTCTGCCTGTAGCTCCTTCAAAATTCCCTGATTCACTCATTCACTCCTCTGCCTGCTTGCTCTCCTCTCTCTCCCTTGTCTTCTATCCTTTCCTTCTCTGCCTGCCACACCTTTCCACTCTTCCCATCAAATCTTCTTGATTTCTTCCACCAAACCCCCTCACCTCCTCCACAAAGTCTTGTGCTACCTCATCACATAGGTCCCTCCCCTTCTTGCACAGGGTCCACCACCCTCCATGGTCCATGCCTGCTAGCTTCCAGCCCATGAAGCTGAGATGGTGTGTGTACAGCCATTGCTTCCTGTGTCTGTCCCATCAGATGAGGAACCTAGATGACAAAGAATAAATATTTGTGAATTAAATTAGTGTAGAGCACCCCTCCCCCAGCTTTAGCTGTTGACGTTGGATGGAGGCAGAGAAGCTGCTCCTTCACAGAGGTGTGCACGGGCTGGGGGGTGGGGGGGCGGGCTTGCCCTAATGCCTCTCACATCTGTTTGGAAGATGCCAAAGTCAAGGAGGGAAGAAGGGGGCAGCAGCAGTGAGGAGATTTGAGCTAAGTCTTGGGCACACACCGTGTAATTTGGCTTAGTTGGCACCACCTGTGTCTTGCATGCCTGAGCTTTGCTAGGACTATGTCAGGCTGCAGGTAACAGGACATCTGTAGCAGCTTACATAAGTAAGACTTTTATTTTTTCTCATCAACTGATGTCACTATTGTTGGTTTAGCGGCTCATTAATGTCAGTGCTAGCTCTCTAGATTCTTCTGGGCTTTTTTCATGAAGATAAAAATCGCTGCACCAGCCAAACATGCCATCCACATTCAAACCAGAAAGAAATGAAAAGAGACATGTCCCCTCTGGCTGACTATCTCAGCAGGGAATCGTGTCTCAAAAGCCCCTTCTTTTCTCCCATCGGTTGTAGTGACTGCCCGGAGGCTGCATCATGAAAGTGGGGCGGGTTCATAGGGTAGCACCTCTCAAGAGGCTGTTCAGGGGCGATGTGTAAATGGATGACCTGTGTCCCATGACCTCAGGTTGACAAATCTGCACTTGTAAAACGTCACCGGCAAGGCTGGCTGATGGAAGTGACTGACAGCTTGGACCACTGCATTGTGAGACTCAGGTACAGTTGACTGAGTGGGATTTGGAGCGCTTGACCCTGGACATTGGAAGCAGGGGATAAAGTGTGGTTAGGACCATCCAGTGCCTGATGTCCAGCCACAGGTGCCGTCTAGAGGTTCCACTGTGAAAGAAAGCATCATGGGAGGGATCTATAGGGAGTCCATTCCCCAGGGATTATTGCTGCTGGCTTGTGAGCAGCCATGGGACTCTGAACTTGAGACTCTCCTATATTCCCCTCCCAAGTAATGGAATTGTAGATGAATGTTACCATGCCTGACTTATCTGTTTCTTTCTTATCTATTTCTGTTAGTATCCTCTTGTCTATTTCTATTTCTCCAAATAATTTTGGAATCATCATTAGTAAATCCTACCACTTCTTTGTCCCATCCCATCAGTGAGTTCTATGAAGAGCCTATTAGGGTTGAGGCACCTGTTTCCCAGTAGCCACTGCAGCTCAGCTCAACCTATTTTGTGCATTCCAGCCTGCATTTTTCTTTTTCTTGTATTATGGGGTATATGAGAACAAACCTTATCCTAGCATATGCCTCTGGGTCCACATTCTTCCAAGTACAAGCTCACACAGGCTCACAGTTACACTCATGCCCTCACTCATCCAGACCCATACTCACTAGGCCCAAACTCATACAGACCCCGGCAGGCCCACACTTACACAGATTCATATTCACACATCGGCCCACAGTTACACACAGGCCCACACTTATGTGCAAGCCCATACTCATACGCATGTCCACAGTCACACAAGTGCCCTTAGTCACAGAGGCTCACACTCATATACAGGCCTCCAGTTACACACAGGCTCACACACTCAGGTAATCTCACTCTCACACAGTCCCACTCTCTGACACAAGCCCACACTCACACACAGGCCCTAGGTGACCTCCTACATCTGTCACATTTGGCCAGCGTTGAATGTCTTGCATGCAGGCAGAGCAGCTGCATCCAGGGCATCTGAGGACAGATATAGGTCATCTGTTCTGCTCTTGTGTCCTTCTAGGGAAGCAAGGAAGAAGAAAGAGGTACTCAGCCTTGGCTATCATGGCAACGTGGTGGACCTTTGGTAAGTGGAAATCAGTGGCTTGGGTATCTCAGGGGTGCAAACCAAGTACTTCCAAGCCACAAGCTCTGAACCTCAGCTCTGTCCGTCCCGGGAAGGGCAACATCCTCACCCAGACCCACACAGCCCGTGCATTTTGTAAAGGAGAAAGTAGACACTACATACAGGGTGTGTGGGTGGAGATGCGGGCTGCAGTTTCTGCTGGCTAGCCCTCCTCCAACCCATGCATGCCTGCCCTGCCCTGACCACCCCACCACTTTCCCAGGGAGCGTCTGGTCCATGAACTGGACACTACAGGGGAGCTCTTGGTGGATCTTGGGTCAGACCAGACATCCTGCCACAACCCGTTCAATGGAGGCTACTACCCTGTGCAGCTCAGCTTCTCGGAGGCCCAGAGCCTCATGTCCTCCAACCCAGCTGCCTTCAAGAACCTGGTGCAGGAAAGGTGGGTGACAGGAAAGGATTGCTCAGGGCAGGACAGCGGAACATGCAGGAGCCTAGTCTTTCTGAGCCTCAGCTTCCTTCTTTCAGTGAGGATCATGAGCACAGTACTTTTGGGAATGATGGGATAAACTGAATTGATATTTGTAAAATTCCTAGGGCAGCTTCCATATCTGTGCTGGGTACACACTGGGACACCTAGTACCCTTGTCTGGCACATTGGATCCAGGGTCTGATGGAGAATGCTGATTTGAGGGGGCACTATAAGGCAGCAGGTGTTGAGGGGTTCCGGGTTGTAAGTAGACATGGGAATCAGCCACACTGGGAACAGTCACAGTGAGCTAGAGGAGGCTGGTTCTCCAGGAGACTTCCTGGAACTAGGTTTAGAAGGCCTTGGGAAGCTTGATGGGGTGGGGCTGCAGAGCTGGAGGACAGGTCAGAGACTGATCACCTGTTTGTTGCAGCCTGAGGAGGCACGTCTCAGCCATCAACAGGTTGGCCCAGGAGAAGTTCTTCTTTTGGGACTATGGTAATGCCTTCCTCTTGGAGGCTCAGCGAGCAGGTAAGCAGGCAGGAGTTTGGACAAGTGGTGTCTGGGACATGTGTGAGCCTACCTGGGTAAACTCCTTTCCCCCTCTCATACCCATAGCTCAGCCGCATGGTCACCCAGTAAGTACCCGGGAGATCTCGTTGTGCCTTTTACCCTGTTTTTCCTTCTTGAAGCTGGTCCTACTAGGCAGCCAGGCCTCTCTGGGCCTCAACTTCTCCTTACATTTTAAAAATATAAAAGACCCAGAGCCCACAAGAAATTGTCTCCTTCCAGGCCCTCTTCATGTCCATTTGCAGGGCCACTTGCAGACCTAGTAGGATGGGGTTCTCTGGGTGGCACCCTGGGGCTAACACTGAGTCTGTGGGCGATATGTCTGTGCCCTACACCTAGACCACACAGATGGCAGTATACCACCCAGGGCTGCACTCTGCTTTTTCTCCTCTTATTTTGCCTGAGGAAAGATCTTGAGACTCTGTTCCCAGTCCTTCCCAGGGCCACTTGTTTAAGTCACTGTTTGTGGTCATGGGTGCTCACACAGATCCTGCTTCACAGGAGCAGATGTGGAGAAGAAAGGAGCCAACAAGACGGAGTTCCGCTACCCCTCCTATGTCCAGCACATTATGGGGTGAGTGATGGAGGTTCCATTTTGGGGTGTCTAGTACCTTTTCGGCTCCTCTCAGGACTTAGGACCTGGTCTTTGCAGCTGGAAGAGCCTCCAACACGGATCGTCACAGAGCTGTGTGCTGAGACCTCACGCAGCTGGGAAGTAGCCATGCAGTGGTCACAGCATTTCTTCATAACACACAAGGGCAGAGGAGGTTCTGTGGGGCCTCAGTGAGAAGACAGGGAACCAAGGGCCCTGATGGCCAAGGTCATTCCCTGTGCACACCATCCTGCCATACACCCACTCATTCCCCTAAATGATGTGGCCAGGGAGCTGTCCTTTGGATGATGATTCAGTCCTGAAGACCAAGATGTACAGTGGCTTGAGGTCCTTATGCCATCTGGCTGTTCAGAGCAGGTCTGAGAAGGGCCAGATGCCCAAGAGAAATAGGGAAGTAGGGGAGGGAACCCAGCAGGAACCAGGGCCGCAGTAGATCAGTCAAGGAATCTGGACTTTCAGACTCGCAGGTCTCTGTGTGCACAGAGGGGCCCAGAGAAGGGTGTCAGACATCTCAGGATGGAGTCCAGAGAGGCAGAAGTTGCCTTTGAGTTTTGCTGCTCTGGGTGGAAGCGGAGCCAAGGGTGGGCTGGGACACTGGAGTACATAGTGACTATGTTTTCCCTAGGGAAGAGAAGTAGAAAAGAGACAGCAGGGACATACTCAGCTGGGCTTGGCAAGTATGGAGTTAGTATGGCTCAGGGCTATAATATCCCGCTGCCCACTTCAACTGGCACAGAAGCTGAGTCACCAGGGAAAGCCAGGCTGGGTCTACACATAGACGACTGGTTTTCATGTAGTCTTCCTAAGAGTAATTTGAGAAAACATCTGCTTGTCTTTGTCCCATTCCCTGCTCCTGCCACTAGAGAAGTGTAGTGGTACAAGTTTAGAGACGGGAGCAGAAGCCAAGGAGGAGGCAGAGGAGCAAGGAGGTCCTCTATGACTTATTGCTTAGAGGCAACAGTTTTGAGCTCATTCTGGACCCTGCCTCTCTCCCCGAAGCATGCCCTCATGCCAATCCCCAGCTCAGCAAGAAGGTGCAGGCAGCCCAGGAGGTTGTGACTAAGGAGACATTTGTCTTTGCAGGGACATATTCTCCCAGGGCTTTGGGCCCTTCCGCTGGGTATGCACGTCGGGGGACCCTCAGGACCTGGCTGTCACTGATCATCTGGCCACATCTGTGCTGGAGAAAGCCATTGCTGATGGAGGTGGTACTTCTGGGTGGGTGGCACTCAGGAGTGGTTGGTCTCCCAAATCCCCTGCCTCTGTAGGGCACCTGGTACCTAGTGTCATATTCTGCATAGATCTCAGGACTACAGGCTGCTGCCCAGGGGACCTCGAGCACTTTCAGACCTTGCTCTTTCAAAGCTGTCGAGAGCTTGAAGCCTATCCACAACTCAGGCTCTGCCCTCCAGCTCTGTGCCCACCTCTGCCTCTGTCCCTGCTGGCACAAGGAACTTTAAGTCAGTCAGATATCTGTCACTGCGGCAAACACCTGAGTGAGCCAGCCTTCCTCTTAAATTGGGGAGGTTTTCTTTTGCCTTTTGGCTTCAAAGACTTCAGTGGTCAGTTGGCTCCATTATTTTGGAGTGGAACTCTGCTGGGAACCAAAGGGAGGAGTGGCCCCAACATCTCCTTCAAGGCTACACCCCAAATGATCTCACTTCCTTCCACTTAAAGGTCCCATCATCCTCCAATAGTGTACAGGATGGCAACCAGCCCCACAATGCCCAGGGTCTGCTGGATATTCATACACTGCAGGCCCTCTCTGACTCAGCCACTCTCCTGCAGGCCCCATTCACCAGGAGATGGGAGGGAGTCACTTGAGCATTGGCTTTGTTTGATGCATTTAGGAATGCTTTCTCATTCGCTTCAGCTTCCTTGTATGAGTATGACACCCCATGCCAGGTCCGGTTGGCACCCACCTGATGTTCAAGTTCTCTGAGCATTGGGTCCCTGAGCTCATCTTGATCGTAGATGCAGAGGTTTGGTTCTGCCTCTTAGCCTGGTGACTGAGATCTTCCTGTGTCTACATGTCCCTGATGCTTTCTTGAAGCACATATTGTCAGTCAAGGGCAAAGAGGAGGCCAGACCAAGTTGAAAGAAGTAGCTGGGGTTTTACATTGGGAAATCTGGCCTACTGCCTTCCCGGCTTCTCTAGCTCAGAAGAGCTGCCTGGCCCTAAGCAGGCACAGGTGGGTGTCCGCTGGGTGGCTACTACCCAGTGCTCCACAAAGACTCTGAGTGCCTACAGATGTGGTGGCTAAGAACCTCCAGCACAGCCAATGTCTATATACAGTGTGACCTTGCCAAGCAGGGACACTCCAGCCTGAGGCACTTCCACCAGGCAGAGCAGACAGATGCTGAGGACCTCCAGGGCTCAGGGCACAGTATAAGAACGTAGTGTAATAAGCGGTGATGTGGTCAAATGCACCTTCACTCTATCGATGTTCTCTGCACTTTCCATGGAGTCTCAGCTCTCACATTACCAGTCTGTTCTCACGAGCTGCTCAGACCTGCTGTCACCATGGCCACCCACCTCCTCTTGCCTCCTCCTGGGGTAGGCCAAGCATTCCCACTTTAGGACCTCATGCTGGATGTTCCCTCTGTAGTTCTGTTCCCACAGAGCTTCTCAGCATTGAGGACTCTGACCTTCCCTTTCTTGGGGAGCCTTCATCCTCCTAATGCATCCCCTAGTAACTTAGCTCACCACACACCTATTCACAGCCAACTGTAGTTCTTGTTCCCGTGCCTGGCTCAGTGTCTGGTACACAATAAGTACTCAATAGTTATTCTTTGAGGGAATGGGTGCATCAGTGATGAACTGTAGAAGCCCACCCATTAATTCTTGTTGTTGTTGACTGGTTCCCAAATTCAGGATGGCAAGTTTAGGGGCATCACCCAAGGTCTCCAGGTACCTATGGCAAACATCCATCAGAAAAGAGAACTGGGGCCCCTGGCATCAGATTCCAGGGCCTGAGATACCCCTTCCTTTTCTCCTTGCAGTGAAGGCATCCGTTAAGCTACAGTACATGGATAACATCCGCTGGATCCGGGAGGCTGCCAAGCACCAGCTGGTGAGAGCTTGACTTGGGGGAAGATGGGTACTGCAGTCTCATGAAGGAGGGTGAGCTGTCAAGAAACTGCCCAGAAACAAGGTGCAGGCACAGTCTCAGCACAGTCCCAGCACCCATCTTGCCATGCCCTGAGAAGTTACAAGACCCTGCATCCATGTGCCTGTTGATAGCAGCACCATGGTGGCCACCTTATCCAAGAAAGGGCTTGTAAAGGGTGTCTGGATAGCAACATGGAGAAACTGGAAACCTTAGACAATGTTGGTGGGGGTATAAAGCAGTGCAATCTAGTTAACCCATGCTGGCTGTAGACTTAATAGGATTGGAACTGATTTCAGGGTGCTATAGGTACTGTAGCTAAAATGCCAATGCAATCCAAATGGCTCTTGGCAGACAAATAGATCAGCAAAATGTCTCTCCTTACAAAGCAACAAGTAAGGGTATTCTGCCAATCACTGCCACCTGCATAAAACTGAAGGACATGACATTAAGAGAAATAAGTCATTCGCAAAAGGACAAACCCTTGCAAGCTGCCACTCACATGCAGCTCCTAGAGTAGGCAAGCCATAAACAAGGAAGTAGCAGAGTTGTGCCATGGCTGGGGCTGGTGGGGGACTTGGGAAAATGAAAAGGTCCTGGAGCTGGATGTTGGCGCCAGCTGCACAGCCCTGTGAGGTAGTTCATGCCACCAGGCAGCATGCTGAAAACTGATTAAGGTGGTCAAGTTTATGTTATGTGTATATCTTAGCTAGGGTTTCTATTGTTGCAATGAAACACCAGGACCAAAATCAAGTAGGGGAGGAAAAGGTTTATTTGACTTCCACTTCCACTAATGTTTTAGTCCATCATTGAAAGAAGCCAAGGAAAGAGCTCTAGTTGGGTGGGAACCTGGAGGCAGGAGCTGATGCAGAGGCCCTGGAGGGGTGCTGCTTACTGGCTTGCTTCTCATGGCTTGTTCAGACTTCTTCTCATAGAACTCAGGACTGCCAGTCCAGAAATAGCACCATCCACAACGGGCTGCGCTCTCCCCCATCAATCACTAAGAAAATGCCCTACATTTGGACTTTATGGAGGCATTTGTCAGTTGAAAATCCCTCCTTTCACATAATTCTAGCTTGTGTCAAGTTGAGATAAAACTAGCCGGCACAGTGTATTTCACTGATTTTCTTTTAATGAAGAGGATAGAGGGTGGGCCTGGGCTCTGAAGCAGCAAACAAGGCCCTCCTTCTTCCAGCCACTCCACAAACAGTCTCTGGAGTTCCTGTGAGCAGTGAGAGCTCAGGCACCGTAACACTCTCAGCTGAATGCCCTGGGTGAGTGGTTCAACCTCCATCTGTGCCATGAAGGCAGCAGTGCTGGACCTTGCAGTGGGCCTCTGTGACCATCCCTGGGCACAGCTCTGCCAGGCCTGGAGCTGAGTACATAAGTGAAGGATAAGCAGGGGGACAAATGGTTGGTCAGAAAAGGAATCCGATGACAGAGAACAGCCACCAGGCCCTGATTAGAGAGGATGGGAGGAATGAGGAAATTAAATAAAGAAGGAGCATTTGGTTCACACAAGACTATGCTAGCCAGTAGGTCCCTGGCCGGAGGTCTCAGGGCCAGGAGGGAACTGTCCCCATCATGGCCCATCCCATCTTAGGGCCATATTTTCCATGTGTGCCCCCATAAACCCCCATGTGCCAGTCACAGTCTCTGTGACCCAAGTCTAAGCCATGGGGCCTGGGGCTGGGGTCAGGGTAGAGGGAGTGCTACAGATGGAATACACAAACCATCCAGTGAGGTGGGAGAAGGAGAGGCAGAGCTGGCGGCAGGGATGCCACTGTCTGGGGCTGCTGCAAGGGGGGTGTTCAAAGCCAGCTGCACATGCCACAGGGCCAGCAAGCAGGAGGCGCTGTTCACCTTTGAGTGGAATTGATCAGAAGGAGCTTGCTCACCCTACTTCAAATGGTTTGTGGCAGTTAATCTTCTTGAAAGCTGGTCATTCTTTTTATATATATGACATTCTTGACAAGCATGGCAGTTGTGTTTGATCTCCTCCTCAGTGTGTGACCAAATACCCTACAAGAAGCCACTTAAGGAAAGAACATTTGTTATGGCGCGTGATTTAAGGGAGCAGTCCATCGCGGCTGGGAAGGCGCAGCGTTAAGAGCATTAGGAGCGTGAGGCAACTAGTCACACTGCATCCACGCTGGCGCTCAGCCTGCTTTCTGCTTTTCATAGACAAGGAGCCCAGCCCGGGAGATGGTGCTGCCTACATTAGGAGTCTTCCCTCTTCAGTTAGCCTTCCCTAAAACTCTTCCTAGTGCTCCACAGATGTGTTCCCACAGCCATTCTAAATCCAGTCAGATTCACAATGAAGATTAACTGCCACAAACCATTTTATAGCAGTTTTTCCTCATTTCCCCTAAGAAATATGAACACCTAACAGCACTGATTCACACTTACAGATAAAAAAAAAAAAAAAAAAAAACTGGAGGCACCTGTAGGAACCAAGGCCATTAGTTAGACCCAGAGAAGATACTGGTCCCACTGCCCACGCCCACTCTGAGCCTTGTAAGGCATTAGTGTCCTTGTCATCTGTCCTTGCCCTCTTTTGCAGTTTTGGCCAGCTCCCTAGGCAGGAGGGGCAAACACGCTTCTTTAGAGAAAGTGTGGATTTTTGGTTTTTCAGCCCAGGCACTGCCAACATTTGGGAAGGAGGACTTTTAAAAATTGCAGCAAGCCTGCAATTAAAGGCATGTGGTAGCGCATGCCTTTAATCCCAGCACTTGGGAGGCAGAGGCAGGTGGATCTCTGTGAGTTCAAGACCAGCCTGGTCTAACAGAGTGAATGCCAGGATAGGCTCCAAAGCCACAGAGAAACCCTGTCTCGAAAAACCAAAAAAAAAAAAAAAAGGCTCAAAGAGGCAGGACCCACAATAGGAAACCTCCATGGTTCCCATGGAGTAGTCACTGGGGGTCCTTCAGGGATGGACCCTAAGGAAAAGATCATAGAACAGAATGAGATGTACCAGGCCTCATGAAAAGTCCATTTGTTGGCATGCAAAGCCCACCAGTGTAGTATCCGTTGGGCTTGATGAGAGAGGAGCCCCTAGAGCCTCATATGTTAGAGCTGCCATGCATCTCCAGGGTCCTCTTGGCTCTCCCTAGAAGGACCAGCTGGCTGCAGTTGGCCAGGTCACATGGCTGCAGTGTCACTCACATCTCTCCCATACCACTAGTTCTTCTTTTTTTAAATAAACATTCTTCTTTTTAAAAGATTTTATTTATTTATTTATTATGTATTCAACATTCTGCTTCCATGTATATCTGCACACCAGAAGAGGGCACCAGATCTCATAAGGGATGGTTGTGAGCCACCATGTGGTTGCTGGGAGTTGAACTCAGGACCCCTGGAAGAACAGTCGGTGCTCTTAACCTCTGAGCCATCTCTCCAGCCCACCACTAGTTCTTGGATGCTTGTTTTTAGCTGAGGGGCTTTCTCATTCTCTCCTCTGCAGGTGGTGGGCTCCCAGGCGAGGATCCTGTACTCAGACCAGAAAGGACGTGTGGCCATTGCTGTGGCCATTAACCAAGCCATCGCCAGTGGGAAGATCAAGGTGATATAGCCTGTGGTGCTTCCAGGAGACTTCATAGACACCTTACCACAAGGCCCTGCTTGGGGTTTCCCGGTTATGACCTCTGGCTCACACTCCAGTCTACCTTCCCCCTCTCCAACCTTCTGAGATAGCTGCTCTCACCAGCACCCTGACCCAGTAGCAGGGAGCCTTCACCCTCCCCTAGCTGAGTTCCCTTGTAGAGATACTGGGTTCCCTGAAGGCCTTGGACTCTGTGGAGCAGATAGGCAGAGGGGCCTAGTGAAGAGCTGCTCTGGGAGCCAAGGGGTAAGGAAGGAAGGAAGGACAACATGGAGGGCCTATCACACCCCCCAGAACCCCAACTCTGAGCATATGTCACAAAGGGTGAGCAGGCTTGTTCAAACACAAGTCCCAACAGGGTCTTTTTTGCTGTGACCTGGGCAAATTGGGTCACTCTGACTCAGAATTTCTCTATTCTGTGAAAAGAATAGCATGCTGAAACCCCAAATGTAGGTGTGAGGCTCAAATGAGTCACAGTCCACAAAAGCAATGCCACACATCTTTTGTGTTGTCTTGTTCAAACTGTGATAAATGTCCCCAAGTTCACTTACTTTCCTCATACTTCTGGGGACCCAGAAACCTGAGCCTATATGCTTGAAGAGGACAGTCAATATTTTCCATCTTGTTTAGGAGACTGTGTCCTGTTCTTGGTGGCATTGCTGTCAGGAGGACGGGGTATTACTCAGAGGGACACGGCAGAGGGCAAGATGGACAAGGTCCCAGCTTTGGAGCTGGTGTACGGAAGGGAGACAGAAACATAACTGCAGGTATCAGTTAGATGTTTACATGGGTTGTGAATCCTGGGAAAACATGAGCCAAGGGGTGAGATGGAGATACATGGTTGGTCAGGATGGGCCTTTCTGGAGTGCTGGCATAAAACTGAACCCTGGATAACTAGAGGTGCCAGACGGCAGTTTCACTGCAGAGTTTAAGTCATAGGCTCGGCATGGCCTGCTCAAGGAAGGCAAGGGCAGCTGGAGGTTTCTGAGTTCCACGGAGTCTTTGAGCCTCCCAGCAGGTTGCATCATATTCAATGAGCCTCTGAAATTCCAAGAACCACTGTTGATGGTTGGGAAGGCTAGCTGCATCTCCTTCATTGTACATTTTGAGGAAGATGCCTGGGCCCAGGCTAGCAATAGCATTATCTCATTGGAGCTAAATGGCAGTCCCTGTGGGTGACCTGAGCCCACCTGTCTTCAGCCACACCTTTTGCACCTCCAGGGTTAGTGGCACTCCACCACATGGGTACAGGCAAGAGAGTCACCCACTGTGTCTACTGGGTTCCCAGGGGTCCTGAAATCTTTAGACTAGAGGGAGCACTATTTGCACACATGTGACTGATTTCACCATGTGGTCTCTGTCCTCACAGACACTGGCAGCATGAAAATGGTCCCATCAATTGCCTAGTCTAGATAATCAAGGCTCAGGGAAGGGAGATGGGCTAAGGGACTTGATCACTGGCTTTCAAGCTCTTTGGTGTAGGTCAAGTCCCTTAGCCCTTCTGTGCCTCTGTTGGCTTGCCTTTGAAGTGAGCATGTTAGCAGTCCTGCTGTCTGGGTAGGGTTTTGGTGAAGACCTGTGCTCTCATGCTAGTGTGTCGCACCGATGCCACCTGACACACAGGAACCTACTTGCAGCTCTAGGTGCTTCTTGGTAGAGTGTGTAGCAGGATTTTCTTTGGACTTCCAGCTCCCAGATAATGACATGGAGATTTCTTATTAGTTATAAAAGCTTGACCTTAGCTTAGGCTTGTTTCCAACTAGGTCTTATAACTTAAATTAACCTGTATATATTGTTCTGCCATGTGGCTTCTTACCTGTGCTCTGTACTGTGCATCCCACTTCCTCTGTGTCTGGCTGGTGAGTTCCCTGCCTCTCAGATTCTTCCCAGAGTTCCTGTTTCTGCCCAGAAGTCCCACCTATCCTCTCCTGCCTGCCTATTGACCATTCAGCTCTTTGTTAAACCAATCAGAAAGTGCCTTGGCAGAAACACATCTTGACAGTGTACAAAAGGATTATTCCACAACATTTCCACCTTTTGTTTAATAAAAAGGAAAGGTTTTAACTCTAAAACAGTAAAACTGTATACAATAAGAATAGTTATCAGGTAAAAATTACATTCACAATGTCCAGTCCATTTGTATGCAACAATTTTGGAGAAGGTATTCTATTATCTATCCTATCTTGGTGAGTGCAAAGTTTTATACTTAAACTACTTTCTATCATAACTTGCATTACCAACTTAAAAATATCCCTTAGGCCTTAAACATTTTATTTAGATAAACAACTTAAGCTTTTATGCCTTTCAACCTTTATAAACTTTATATCTCTTTTGTAGGTTTCTTTTTTTAATTTGGTAACAAGAAAAACTGTAAAACTATACCTATCTAGTCTTCAACCTCAATCAGAGACCTGACAAGGATAAGATATTACCCGAGTAAACAGGAAGTGCAGAGCAAACCACTTCCAAAACAATATTTCTGTAGAGGCACCTGGCTGCCTGAACAATCACCCAAGGCTCCTCTGCAACACTGGAGCATCTGTCTTTGGCCTACAGGCCTAGAATGTCTGACAGACTTTTCTGTGAAGCAGGAATTTTGAAGTACTGTCCTACCTTGTCTTTTAGTAAAGTTTGGCGGTCACTTTCTTTTGTGTCCTGTTTATCCTATTTGGGCAGCATACTGTCAGCAGTTGATGAAAGGGCAGTTTCTGGCCCAGTGACAAACTTTGCCACAAATGAAAGCAAACTCCATATGGAGGTTCTTCGATTCCCATCATCTTCTCTGAAGTAGATTGATACTGTCAGGAGCAAACATGTCTCACTGTCATGAAAAGTCTAATGTTATTGAAACATATCAAGTGACATAATCTATAGGTTTCTGAAGTGTTTGAAGACTACCTATCTATCTAAAATATGTCTCTGTTTGACCTTGAAAATATACCTAACATGGCTACAAGTTTGATTGTTATAAATGATTAACTAATCACCTGCATTTCTCTATCATCCTAAATAGTTTGTAATAATAACTTTCAAGAACTAGAACTTTACATTACATTTTTAAATGAGCTGTATAGGTACAATACCTTAAACATATATACAGTATGTTATAACAAAAATAACCTTAAATTTGTACCATACACAAAAATCCAAGGGAAAAGAATCCAAACCGTATCTGAGTAATCTCACTTTTATCCTCCGCCTCATGCTAGCAAGCCTTGTGGACACCACTGACTTGTATACCCTTCCCTGTCCCCCACAGGCACCAGTGGTCCTGAGTCGTGACCACCATGATGTGAGTGGCACTGACAGCCCCTTTAGGGAGACTTCCAATATTTATGATGGCTCTGCCTTCTGCGCAGGTAAGGAAAATGAAAGGATTGTTGTCACTTAATATTAGCCCATTGAGGAGATGAACATCCATAGTCCCAGTACCTCTAGCAGCTGAGTGGGACAGGCATCTTGAGCTTAAGAATTAGAAGCAGCCTCGGTAACACAGAGAGACCTCATCTCAAAGGGAGGAAGGAGATTCCCTGTATTCCGGATTCTGGGCTGCAGGCTCTCTCCCTCCTCTTCCTCACTCAGTACCAGGGAGGGTCTAGGTTCCCTGATCTCTGTGAGAATTGGGGTGGGAGTGGTGGATAAAGAGCTACAAGAGGAAGCAGCAGACTTATGCCTGTGACTCCAGGGTAGCAAAGTAGCAAAAGTCACAGACCTACTCACACCTGTCTCTCAACATGTTAGATGCTTCGAAGGCAACCATCTGGGGCTCTGCTTCTTCATGGGTGCCTGGCTCTATAGTTTGCTATGTATGTGGCTACTCTGTAATGATTAACTCATCCCTGGTGCAGCAAAGCAACTGTGGAAAACCAGAACTAGGGCTGAAATAGTGAAGACTAATTACTTGTAGCCGATAGGGAAGCACTGGTGGCCAAAGCACCATCCCCCCCAAAGGAAACCAGAGGCTCTTTAGTGGGGAAACTCATACTCATTCATGTAGGAAGACACCTCACAACTGGGTATTCTCAGATGGAGCTTGTGCAGCTTACCCATTCAAAAAATGTTGGATAGGAAAAACTCCTGGGTAGAGGAGTGTGATAATAAAAAAATTTTTTCCTCTAAGTCATCTAAGAGGACTGAGCCAGGATGACTTCTGGGCTTCTCTGGAGAGCCTTATCAGAAGCAAAAGTACTACTTGGAGGGGGCTAACCATATTTAAAGAGACAGTACACCCACTGTGTAGTGGTGATCGCCTCTCAAATACCTGTCCAGTGGCCAACATGGGGACTTCACTTCTCTGATGGAGTCAAGAAGCATCATTCATTTGCAATCCTGCTCTAGGCACGAATGGGCATTAAGTACCAGAGAGTGTGGTTGTAGGGAAGGATAATAGGTATAAGTGGGCTCTGTCAGTTTCTGGTGCTTCCTCTGGTTCTGGACTCCCCTGTCTCTGTTCCCCACTTTCCCACTGTCACACTGTTCTTCAGTCCCAAGAAACAGCCTGAGTCTATTTGTCCCTCAGACCACCTAGTGCAAGGAATGATGGATTGTGCTTGCCCTGTTTCTGCAGACATGGCCGTGCAGAACTTCGTGGGAGATGCCTGTCGTGGTGCCACCTGGGTTGCACTTCACAATGGAGGGGGTGTAGGCTGGTAAGAAAATATCAGAGAGTAGGCTGTGGGCTGATGTGGAGACCCTGGGGACCACCTGGGACAGGGGCAGGTCCAGAGGCCTGAGGTTCTTGGACTTAGATCCCTGGGACATGTTCTATGGAGGGCTTTGTGCAAATGTATTCCTCATGTGAACTGGGAACTGAAGGGTCAGTATGTTGGGGTGTGGAGGATGAAGGAACACAGAGAGGGAGACTTCTGTAAAGCAGCTCCAGCAGCTTGGCCTCTACCTATCACAGAGGACACAAGGCAAGCATGCGCAACAATCATGCTCATTTCCGCATTCTCATTCCCACCATAACTATCACACTTGAAAGAGTGGGAGCCCATGATTGCCAGGACAGCAGGGTCTCCACTCTCCCTAGCTCACAGCTATGTTCATACAGGTCACTTTCCAGCCAGCACCAGGACAGGGTCATTAAGGCCTCTATAATGGCCTCTGTGTTAGTCATCATTCTGTTCCTGTAACAATAGAGATCTCTAGCCTGTACAGAGGAAAGGCTTATCTGGTTCATGGCTTCACTGGTTGCAGTCCATAGTCAGTTGGCCACACTGTTTTTAGGCAGCAAAGCATGGCAGGAGCTTCTAGGGGTGGGGACAGAACCATTCATCCATGACAGGGAAAAGAAGAAGAAACCAGGATCCCACGGGGTCCTGAAAGGGCACTTCCTCAATGATCTGAAGACCTCCCATGGGCTTCACTCCTTAAAATTGCCACCACCTCCCTCAAGGGAATATCTAAAATCCAAGCTATAGGGTTTCATTCTGATTGGCATTGGCCATTCCTCTGCTGCTATGAGTATTAACTCAGATTCATCAGGCACGGAATGCAGCAACATTCACTGATCCCTTCCAATCTTTCCACTCCCAGAACCAAAGAAAGAACATAGGTTTTACAGATGAGGAAACTGAGGCACAGAGGGTTTGCCTCTGCTGGGGAAGTTTCCTATCTGAGGTCCACAGAGCTGGAGCCCTGGCTGTATTGAACAGCCAAGGGCACTGTGGTCTCAGAGAAGGAGAAGACCTCTGAGCCAGTGTGGACTGGATCCAGGCAAGCCTCTGTCCTGAAAAGCCAAGTCCTTCCATTAACCAGCTTCCCAGAGCATTCGGATGACTGGTTTGGCCTCATGCCCACCAAGGCTAGAATTCCAGGCTGAAGCCCTGTCAGGTGGCTTTAATTAATGGAAAATGTGACCATATTGCATGTCCTGGCTGGAGAAGAACAGCACAGACAAGAGCTCCCTGGTTATGGAGTACCTGGGAAGGAACAACCATGACTGTAAAAGCTTCACAAGGCAAAAGCAGTAGGCAGGCTGGGGATTCCGTAGGGAGGATGTGGGAAGCCCTGGGTTCTAGCTCTATTGCAGAAAGGGTTGAGAAACCTGGCTCACCGATGTGGCTTCTCCAAGGACAAGCCACACCCCAGTTTTGTGGCTTTAGTTTCTTCCTCATTTGACAGGAATCTGTTACTGAGCTATTTGTCCTTGGGCTTCTTGACTTGCTTCTTCACTTCCTGGACTGACTACCAGTGCCCTGTGGAAGGCTCTCCTCTGTGCAAGGTCACCACCCACAGCCATGTGTCAATTGTAGTGCACTCCATGGCCTTGGCCTCCTTGCTGTCCCTCTTTTGGACTGTCTGCTTAGTGACTGCTTTTGTGTTGTGTGTCCACAGGTCATGCTTAGTGAGAGCACCAGTTGGCTGCAGCTTTATGTGCTCCAGTCTGTATCTGTAGGACAGGGCCATTTGGCCAACTCATTGAGTGGGAGAGATTGTACCTTAGCAAAGACTTCTCTGGGCTATTTCTATAAGAAAGGTTTGCAAGGGGTAGACTTCATGTGTCATGGGATCATTTCAGAGAGCAGGTAAGTCAACGCAGGCAACCTTGGGGCAGTCAGTGCATCTGGGCTACTAGCAGCCCACCTGTGGCATGGCATCTTGTGTGCCATGCAGCCTTCCTGTGTGTCCATCCACTCTTTATGACCACTTAAGAGGTCCCTGAGAAGCAACCTCCATCCCTTTGCAGAACACTGTCCCAGACTCAGTACTAGAGTACTTGTCTAGCATGTTCAAAACCCTGGCTACCAGAGAAAGATTGCTCCCTATTCTGATGGACAAACAGGCATCAAGCAGAAGGTGATATAGAGAGGGTCTTGGAAGTATACATGAAATGGACAAGACCAATTCAGAAGCATAATTGTCTGAGAAGTCAGGATGTTGCCTGATGGGGGATGTCCTTCTGTATATGTGTTTCTCTTATTAGTTGATAAATAAAACACTGTTTGGCCAATAGCCAATAGACACAGGAAGATAGGCAGGACTTGGAAACAAGGAGAATTCTGGGAGAGGTAGTCAGAGAGGCAAGGCAAAGAGATACCATGTAGAGGCCAGGAAGACAGGACGCTCCAGGCACTCTCTGGTAATCCAAGACCATGTGGAAATACATAGATTTATAGAAATGGGTTAATAATTAAGACAGAGCTAGCCAATAAGAAGTCCTAGCCATCAGCCAACGGTTTAATAATTAATATAAGTCTTTGTGTGCTTATTTGGGGGTGAGAAGGGTGGTGGGACTTGGTGGAACAAGAAAATCCAGCAACAGTTGCTCCTCTGTTCTGCTGACCATGTCTCTGTGATATGGAGGACAATGTCACAGGCTCCCCCAATACTGATATCTTCTCAAGCCAATGATTGAAGCCTTGCATGATGCCTGCTTCAAGCAAGTCAATACAGGGAATAAACTAGGAACCTCTTTGTCTCTTGCAGGGGTGAGGTGATCAATGGGGGATTTGGCCTTGTGCTAGATGGAACCTCACAGGCTGAGCAGAAAGCCAGGATGATGCTTGGCTGGGATGTCTCCAATGGTGTAAGTCCCCCAGAACTCCTCAGCTTCTTACTACCCCCTCTCCTCCATGACTCTGCCTAACCAGGTTGGAAGTTTGGGCTGCAGTTCTGGCCCCTCCCCACTAAGGGCCTCTACTCCCTTCGAAGGCCTTCCAGGGCTCCCTCTTTTTGGGGATTTATTTATTTTTATTTGATTTAATGTGCATGACTGTTTTGCCTGTGTGTATATGCACTATGTGTGTGCCTAGTGCCCTTGGGGGTCATAAGAAGGCATCAGATCCCTTGGAACTGGAGATACTGATGACTGTGAGTCACCATGTGGCTGCCGGGAACTGAACCTAGGTCCTCCGGAAGAGCAGCTAGTGCTCTTAACTGCTGAGTCATCTTTCCAGGCCCCAGGCATCCTTTACACCATCCCTTCCCAACTATTTCCACACTTTCCTTTGGGTCTCCTTGTCTCCGGTCTCACCCTGCAGTCTAGCTTCTGTAAATGCAGATGGACCCTGGCAGGCTCAATCAACCCTTCCTCCTGAAGCACCCCTGTACTGGTGTTGAGGCCTCACTCTTTGGGGCTGAGATGGAACCCAGGGCTTCAGGCATGTTGACCTCTGTCATTTTGCTGTGCCCTGGCCTCAAGATCTCCATTTTAAGGCCCATCTTTCCCTGTTTCATGTTGCTGTTCCTTTTTTGCTGTACTGGGTGGCCTTTGCCCATGTCAGGCAGGTGCTATTCCCCAGCTACACCCGCCCTCACTGCCACCTTCGAAGGCAGCCAAAGAACACATCTCAGAAGCTAGATGGGCCTTTCATCCTGCAACTAGGACCCATCTTGACAGTAACACAGCATCCTGAGAGGGAAAGGGGACAGATTCCTCTCCCAAACCACATCACAGGCAGCCCAGAAGGGTCAACCTGAGGTTGGAGGGCAGGTAATGATGAGGAAAGGTATACAGGATGTGAGCAAACCAAAGAGGGATTCCAGAGCAGAGAACCAGAGTGAAGACAGTAGCTCTGGATGACTGAGGTTGTGCCCAAAGGCAGGGCGAAAGGGAGGTTCCTCTGGTAGGGCCACTCACCAGGATGACTAAAATTCAGCATTTCAGTGGGAGGGGGCAGGGTCTACATCCTGACACTAGGATTTAGAGTGAGCCTGGTTTCCTCCCAGGATACCTCACTATCAGTGGTGTGGATATAGCCCAGGGGAGGCTTGGAAATGAGGGGTGGCTGCTAGGTGGACAGGTGTCATGGTCACCGTTTATAGAGGGCAGAGCAGATATAAGAGAGGAAGTGGGCTCGAGGAGGGGTCATATAGCTGATGATGAGGATTCGGAAAGGGAAAAGGATGGGTGCTAGGGATGAGTTTGCTCTATCTCGTTCATTCTTAGAGCTGGGATAGGGATGGGTACAATAATAACTGGCTTCAGATCAAAAAGAGGCTAAGTCAGCTACATGCTCCAGATAATAGAGAGGGATTCTGAGCCTGGCAGATACAAAGGTGGCTCTGAAATCCTCAAGCAGAAGAGGACATAGAGTTTGGGAACCAAGATACCATGTGAAGAGCCCAGTGATGTTGATACCAATGCCGTGTGCTTGGCTTCTGCAGGTGGCACGGCGCTGCTGGTCTGGGAATCCCAAGGCCTATGAGATCATCTGCCAGACAATGCAGGAGAACAGTGGCCTGGTGGTGACACTTCCCCATGAGGTGGCAGATGAACAAGTGATACAGCGGGCCCTGCGGCCCTGAGAAGAGCTGGGGTCCTCTTGATCCGCTCCTTCCCACTACCTGACCCTCTCAGATCACCACCATCCTCCTACACTGCACCCCTACATAGCTCTCCTAGTGTCCCACACAGTGAACCACAGAGGCCTATCAAGGTGAAAGCACTTGTCTTTGACCACTGGGTTGAGGGTCCGGAGAGGATAGGGAACATCTTGTTTGTGGGAAGGTCTTTAAGCCTGCAATAAAGTGGATGGGAAGGAACTTCAAATGCTGGCCAAGCTGGCACCAATCTCCCAGGATTCTCTGTGACCTTCTCAAAGTGTTATTCGGTCTCCTGTCCACCACACTGCTCTCCTAGCTATCCTCCCATGCCTTGTCTATGCCATCACTTCTGGTTCTTCAGAGAACCAGGCATGGGTACACGAAGTGCCCACACCAGGTCCTTGATACTGAGGAGTACAGGGGAGAGGATAGACAGGAAATAAAGAATAAAGTAGAGGCAAGTACATGGCATAAACTGGGCTAGCGGGAGTGGGTAGCACAGTGTCTGAGGCAAAGTGGCCAGGTGCTGGGACATGTGGAGAGGACACACTCTCCACGGGAGCTGTGTGAACCTGAAAAATAGAACCAACCACTTGCTGAAGTCCCTGGGTGTCTGGCTGGGATCTGGAATCCTGCAGGAGTTGCACTGGCCTAAAGTGGGATCTTACATCCTTCCCAGGCCAACCAACAAGATCTACACCAGGCTTGCCTCTGGAGCACGGGCCCTGGCAAAGAGAATTGGATAGCTGTGCTTCCTTGGGCCTTCCTCTGGAATTTGCTACTACTTTATAGTGCCTCCTACCCACCACACTTCCTCCCACTATCCTGTTGCTCTGTGCTCTCTCTTCAGTCTTTACCAGGCCAGCTCTCCTGCTGCGGGTTCCATAGGCTTGTCATCCCCTAAGCTGAGCCAGAGCTAAGAGGAAAACCCAAAGATGGATGAGAGAAAAGGAAGAGAAAGAACACTGAGACCACTGGCCACAGAGAAGTTGTGCTGTTGTGAAAGCATCCACCATATTTGGCTCATACTGGTATAGAACCAGACAGAAGGGACCCTTTGTCTTCCCTAGAGTGCCATAGGGAGGATGTGAGGGTCCTCCAGCAACCCCCTATTCATGATGCCCTGCCGTGGGAGCAGGACTAAGCAATTTGGGTGTGGCTAGTCCTACTTCACTGTCATGAGCAACCAATAATCTTTCCTATGCAGTTATTTAGACTTAAGGAGACACCGAGTCTTGGGAAAATGCAGTTGCATCTGATACAAAACAAAAGAATGTTTTATTGTAATGTTACCATAGTCAAATACCCAAGGCAATTAACATACAAAGGGGTTTGGGACTGACAGTTCTGGATGTCCCCACCCAAGATGAAGACGTCATCTTGGGTGCTTTCGGCCTCTGGCAAAAGCACCCAAATAGCAATGGCAGGGAGCGTATGGCAGAACAAAGTGCTTACACTATGAGCCAGGAAGCAAGGAAGGGAAGTTTGAACCCAAGTTCTACAATCCCTCAAGGACATGTTTTCAGTAAACTACCTGCACTACCTCTGTCTCTAAAGGTCCCACCACTTCCCAACACACCTTTTGAATAAGCTGAGCCATAGCAGAGGTCAAAACTTGGGTCTGGTATCTTGGTCTGTGTTTCTTGCATAAAATAAAGATTCTCCTAGGTCAAAAAGTAGGTGTGGAGCCAGATATCCTTCAGTGATTGTTCAGGGCCTCTGAGCCTCAGTTTCCAAAAATGCCCAGCAGAATCATAATACCTGGATCTCTGTGGAGAGGTAACTTGGTTTTTCTTTATTCTCTATGTAGTATCACAGCAGGGGACCGGGCAGAGGTTGGCACTGGAGCAGCCCCCTCCACACTCATACCCTGGGTGTGCACTGTTTTCATATGGAGCCCCAGCCCTTCCCTGTAGAGTTACTTCCCTGCACTGGCAACAGTCAGCACAAGCTGCTAGCCCTTGTCTTCTGGTAGAATGGCTACCACCTGTGGAGTGTCCAGTATTCAGATGTGGCTAGTGTGACCAGGAAAGTGAATTAAATTTTGACACTTTAATTCATTTAAAATATATTTAGTTCTTTTTCATATGAGTGTAACTGAAATATAATGATATTACAATTACATACCTGGTTTAGACTGTGCCTATTCTATTTTTTCCCCTAAAAGCCAGGAACATGTTTATTTATAAAAATGCAATCCTTTTTAAGATGTTGGGGGAGGCTAAATGGTAGAACACATATTTAGTACACACACACACACACACACACACACACACACACACACAAAAGTAAGATTTAGCTGAACAGATAAATATATATGATAGCATTAAAAAACAACAAGCCATCATCTGTGGCGAGATACAGATGTGTCCACCAACACGGCAGTATACATGTATAGTCAGGGCTCAGCAGTGTAGAATGGACCCTGTTGTGGCTGGCCTCCTCTGTTGCCAGTTTGCTCAGATTCCTCAGTTCTTTCTATGTAGGTTTCCTGCCTCCATTCTCAGCCTAATTGTACCCCTGGAGAGATTCTTACAGAGTGCAACAACAGCATGCCATACCTCTGTTTGAAAACCACAGTGGCTTCCCTGATCCTTGCTGGAGTCAGAATCTGAGTACCCCAACCTGGAAAGTATAGCAGAAAAACTGTTCCTCAGAGACTGTGAAGTCCAGCAGAGGGTAGAAGGAGACCACGGTCAGGAGGGTTAGAGAAACCAGAGGAGAGTGATCAGTGCAGGATAGACAAAGATGATTCCTTACAACCCCAGGAGGCTGAATCCACCCCATAACAGATGTCTAAAAGTTACTGAGACACTCAGAGAGAATAGAAGACAATAACGTCCACATGCTATATATCGACTGCTTTCCAACAATTTTCTTTTATTGTGGTAAAACACACATAACAAAGTTTGCATCCCAACCCCTTCCCAGGGTGCAGCACAGTGATCTGAAGCACTCCCATGGTACAATGCAGCAGTACCCACCACCCAGGTCTAGGAGCTTTTCATCACACCAACCTGACATTGTCCCCTTCCCTGCCCCTAGTGTCTGTCAGCCTATTGTTTTCCTATGTACTGTGTGCTCCAGAGGCCTGGAAGATGCAGGATCACATAGTGCTTGCCCTTCTGAGACTGCTTGTTCATCCAAGGTCGTGTCCTTGGTCCATCCACAAGGCAGCATGTAGCAGAGCACCCTTCCATGCTAAGGCTGAGTAAGACTGCACTGCATAGTGGACCACATTTGCTTAGCCATTCAGCCACTCATGGGCTGCCGTGAATGTTGCTGTGAGCACAGGTGTGCATGTGTCTACCCAAGGCCTTGCTTTCAGCTCTTTTGGGTCTGCACTTAGAACTCTAACTATAGGATCACATGATAATTCTATGTTTTTTTTAAGGAACTATCAAAAGATTTTCCATAGTAGAAACAATTTCTAAATCTGGAATTTATTTTCTAAACTACTTGCTTGCGATCTAAAACAAATCCACTAAGGCCAGTAAGATGGATCAGTGCTTAAAGGCACCTGTTACCAAGCCTAATAACCCGAGTTCAAGCTCCAGAATCTACATGATGGAGGGACTGAACTGACTGCTATTAAGTTGTCCTCTGACCACCATATACCATCACACACACACACACACACACACACACACACACACACACATACACATACACATAATTAACAAGAAACTCAGTAGTGCTAAGGGGAACCTAGGGTGTACTCAAATCCCACTACAGAAGTCGCATCAGGATTTTTTCTAGAAATTTTTTTCAGAGTATGTAAATTCATGCACAGACATGCAATGTTTTTTTCATACAAACAAATGGGACCTTTCTATTTCTGTGTTGACTTTTAAACATTTTTTTAAAAATTGAAACATACATAAGAGTCATTGTGGTCAAGTTTGTTATTAGTAGTTTTGTATATCAGATGTACTGTTCAATCAGCACCTCTAATGCAAAACCTTTTGCTCCACAGAGAACCCATCGTTGTTAGAAGCTAGTCCTAATTCCCCATCTCCCTGTAGCCACCAGCAGCCACTAATCCACTGTCTGATGGATTTAGCTCTTCTCGGCATTTTATGTACATGATATTATTACAACACATTTTCTTTCACAAGTTTTTTATAGGTTTGGGCATGTTATAACTTGCAATATTTTATGTTATGGTTCAAAAATATTCTGCTGTATGAACATATATTCATCTGATGATGAAAATTGGCTTATTTCCACTGGAGAGTTGTAACTAAGGCTACTATGAATATGCATGTAGTTTATGTGGACGTATTTCCATCCGTCTCTCGGAGTGGGTATGAGGGAAGGGCATAGCCTTGCATATTAAGGGGCAGGTTGGTGGGAAACGGGAGTAAATCAGTGCGGGTGCAAAGGGCAAGTTGGCAAGATTTTAATAGCATTTGCACTTTCAGAAGGAGGCTGAGGACTGGCTCCTTAGTTATTTGTGAACCCAGAAGTGAAATAGGTTTGAATTTGGGTGGTGATGACAGAAAGGGAGGGACTCCAGACAAATCCATGTGGGAGAAGTGGGGGCAGCAGAGTCCAGGGAACAACTAGCAACTTAGTGGGCTGACCCTATCTATGTCAAGGCACCTTGGTGGGGTTTAAGCAGGGATCCCATCAGGACGTATTACGGGGCAAGCCAGGGCTGTAGTCCAGTAGTACCAGGCAGATGTACACTTCAGCAAGGTCCCAGAGAAGATGTCAAGCGAAGTGGAGAGGCTCAAAGCCTGACTGTAAATTCCGGGCTATGTGGCCCCAGATAAACTTGACACCCGTTTCCTCGCACCTGGCAATCACGGATCGAATCAGCTCGTATTTCCCAAGCACACAGGGCTCGAGGAACTCTTCTTACAAGGTGCGATTGGCTTTCATTCCCTTGCGCTACGCAGATGTAAAGGGAAGAGTCAAAAGCTGAAGTCCCTCTTTTCCCAAGCGGGGACTCAACCCAAAAGTACACGCGAGTTGGAG